GAAGAATCGCTGCAGCGAAGTTTGCGAATAATTTGCTGTTCACGTGCGAAAGCAATGAATCGCTCCTCGAAAGATCGACAGTCCTTGCTCGTTGACGTGGTACCCATAGAGTTCGGACAAAGATCGACCGGCTCCCCAGTCCCAGCCACGTTGTTGCGACCTCGCACATTCGCACTGACTTGCCAGCCTCGGATCTCTTCACCGTTGCCAGTCAACCGGATTCAATGTCGGGCAATTGAAGTAATATGTTGCGAGGTCCTCGCATTATTCAACATCACCAGTCTGCGCTGCCCCTTCAAGACGACATGGTTGCCGAATCAAGCTAGAGGTAAGTTAGAGCGATGGGGAGGGTTCGTGGAGCGGAGTCGTGAATAAGCTTAATACGCCGAAGCCCAAGTCGTGCAGCACAAGTGCATTTTTTTTCGCCGCCGGCTGTGCTGTTGACTCGGGAAGACGTGATGTTTTGGCTACGATGTTTGGCTGGTAGGGGGAACAAACCTTTCGGGGAGTTCGTTGGCTCGTTGGAGCCGGAAGGAAGGAGATGGGAGCTCTTTTGATACGGCTCTCTGATTGGCCGCTAGGCAGTCCGCGGTGTCCCGTGGCTGGGACCCACCCGACGGAGCTCTGACCAGACAACTCACCCTCCAAGTACAAGCTGAGGCGCGCATGTTTCAACAACCAGCATCTGTAGTGTAGTGGTTATCATCCTTGCCTTCCATTCTTCGGATCAGCAAGGGACCCGGTTTCGATTACCGGCGGATGCATCACGCTGGTTAACTTTTTGCATTTTCCGTGAATGATCTTAGGCCCCTCCCATTTTTGATTCTTTTCAACGTAGTTTCCTTCATTTTGTTTTGGAATCTCTCAGAAAGGTGTGCAATCGCACGGTTGGTGGTGTCCAGTTGGGCGCGCAGGTGTAGACTTCAAATGAAGCGTTTCGGGGAAGACCTGCGATTCCGTGACTCCGACCAGGCACTTTGGGGAATGATGAATGGTATGTATGCACGAAGTCTAATATCTCCCCTCTAATTCTCAGTGAACGTCTTCAACAGGTGCAATGTACAATTATTTCAAAAAGCTCTTATTGTCTTGAAGAGAGGGATGGACTTGGATTTCTCGTTCCTGGCAGTGTATGTATTTGAACGTAACATGCGGCCACATTGATTATCATCCTCATCATCATCATCATTACAACTACCTCGAGCTACATTCCTGCCTCAGACGATGATAGCATTAAAGTAACCCCCCCCCCCCCCAATATTTCATCCACCCTCCCTCCACTCAAATAGTAAAAGTCCCATTCACCCTCAAATCCCGACTACTAGCCCCAACCCAAACCCCATACTCACCCTCACTCAACCGCCACTGCTGTGCACTCACATCCCAAAAGCTCAAGTCCCGCCTCGTTAGCGCAAACTCCACCGTCGCGCTTCCGCCCGCCTCGACATACACCCTCTCGAAGCCCCTCAACTGCTTCGCGGGCGTGCCCTCTACGGGAATACCAACATACAGCTGCGCGACCTCATGGCCGCCCACGCCGCCCGTATTCTGGACCGTCACGCTCACGGAGACGACTTCCTCCCAGAGGGCCGGGTGTCCGCCCTGAACAATCGCGACGCTCGGATCCGGGATACCGGCGCTCACGCCCGACGCGGGACTCGCGGAGAGGGAAGAGTAGCCAAAGGTAGTATACGATAGCCCGAAGCCGAATTCGTACCGGGGCGAGATCCCGTCGCGGTCAAAGGCGCGGTAATCGATGAACAGACCCTCCGTAAAATCGTCCTGCGGGAACGGGCCCGCTTCGACAGTCGAGTTGAGGAGGTTACCGTAGTCTGACTCGGCGCGGGCGACGGTGTAAGGGAGTCTGCCGCTGGGGTTGACGTCGCCGTAGAGGATGTCGACGAGGGAGTTGCCCGATTCCTGGCCGGGTAAGCCGGCAAAGAGGATTGCTGTCACGTTGGGATGGTCTGCCCAGGCTTCGACAACGCGGGTTCCTGTAGGAACTTCGGTTAGCGGTGGCTATGCTAGATAGTAGCATAAGACTTACCGGCAGAGTGCAACACGACAATCGTGTTGGAGCAGTTGGCTGCGACGTTGTTGACCAAGTTATCGCTAAACTCGTCCGTCAGGCTTGGTCGGTCGTATCCCTCTGAGGCCCACGCGTTGATAAAGACCAGACATGCCTCCGAGTTGACGTAGTTGGGCTGCGGGTTCTCAGAGTAGAAATCCCACTTAACCACTCCGCCGTCCGCGATAACACGGTCCTGGATGGCCTGGAAAGGAGTAATGACATACGGCGGCGTCGTCGTTCCGGAGCCGCCACCAGAAAGCAACGTCCCGTTGAAGGTATCCGCCAGTACAGTACCCCATGACGGGCCATAACTCGTGCTGCCCCACGGCGTGGGAGGCAAGCTAGCATCGTAACCGTACACCGTCAAGAACTTGGGGTTCTTGAACGGCAACGTGCCATTGACGTTCTTCACCAGCACGGTACCGGCGGCGCCGATCTCGCGAATGATCGCCTTGTGCCCGTTCTGCACGTCGACGGGCGCGTGCTTCTGGAGGTTCGAGTAGGCTCCGACGGTTGGGTAGTCGTCGCTGTCCTGGCCGATGTAGTACCACGCCGCAAGGATTCTTGTCGTCATGTCCTCGACGCGTTCACGGGTGACACTGCCGTTGTTGACTGCCTCGACGAGGGATGCGCCCCAGAAGGCTTCGTTTGGCATGACCAGGTCGAGACCTGCGTTTGCGGTTGCTACGCCGGCGTGTTGTGCGCCCCCTGTGGTAATTGTAAGCAGCGGCCATGGAGACCAGAAAGGAAGAGAAACTTACAGTCGCTGACAACGAACCCTTCAAACCCGAGCTCAGTCTTGAGGACTCCATTGAGCAACTTGGAGTTTTGGCATCCATACGAGTTGTTGGCGCGATTGTAAGAACACATGACCGACGCAGCGCCCTCCTTCAACGCATCCATGAACGGGAAAACATAAAGCTCATGCAACGTCCTATCATCAACATTGGAAGATCCGGCCTCGCCTTCTTCAACACTCGGGTTCCGGCGGTACTCCTGCTCGTTGAGAATCCAGTGCTTCGGGCACGCAATGGTTCCAGCATCCTGCATTCCCTTGGTAATACCACCGACGCCAACAGATGACAGGTACGGATCATTACTCAGACCCTCCCAGTTTCTGCCGCCGCGCGCAATACGACCCAGGGGTCCGCCGACGGGTCCAAGGCCGACATTGATACCCTTACCGCGGAACTCGGCGCCCAGGGCCTCGCCGTAGGCATACGAGAGGTTCTTGTCCCATGTCGCACCGAGGTGGATGCCGGAGGGGAACGCCGAGACAAATTCCTGCGCGCGAACGCCATCGGGGCCGTCTTGGAGGCAGATGGGCTCGATGCCGAGACGAGGAACGGAGCCTGTGTTGCCGGTGCAGAGGCCATCCCAGCCATGGGTGAAGTTTGCGAGTTCCTCGACGGTCATCTGAGCGGCGAGGGACTTTGCGCGCTGGTACGCTGTGGCCCATTTCTCATTGGTCGTTCCGTTTCCCACGGCTATTTGGTTCTTGGTTAGGTTCATGTCACGGTATGCTCAGGTTAAGAGAGAAATCAGTACTGACGCGTGGGGTAGACGGCTGGACTTTGGCCATAGTAAGGATCTGTATCATTGGTATAGCTATCTTGAGCAGCGCAGAGCGTGAGGCCAGCAAGGGCCGTCGCCAACGTCGAAATTAAGTTGTTGACCATGTTGAGGACCCAATTGAAGAGCACAGCTTGAGCTTGCAAACTCTTTGCTCCATGGTCCCCGTACGCAGGAAATCCAACCACTTAAGAACTTCCCCTCTTGTCGTGCCTTTTCCCGCGTCATCTGTCCAACTTCTCCTCGGACTGAGATGAGTCGACGGCCGACATCTAGTCCCCGGCACCGCTGCGCAGTACTGTGCACGCCGTCGGCCCTTCTCCCTAGTCGACGGTGTTCCCATGATCACATTCAACTTTTCGCCGCAGCCAGATCCACCTCCACTCGGAATCCGTCTTCCAGGAGTCAAAAGGCACAATGATGATCTCATCAACGATGCGACGCCGGCCACTTGGGCAAGCTTTTTACGGTGGTAGTCTGTGAGGAAACCCCATGTCTCCCCAAGTCGGGTAAAACTCCATGTCGGTCCACGTTGTTGGTGCCATTTCTCAACGGTGCGGGGGACAAAGGTGTGGATGGCCGTTGGTGGCTAGTTTGCCTAGTTTTTGGTAGTCCCATCGCAGGTTCAACCAGCTAAGGATGCGAAGCCAGGCTACGAGTAGTTCGTCTGGAGATATTCCATGCAGCCTGGAGGCTCTTCGGCGGTATTTTCTTCGGCGCGCGGGGAAATCGTGGGGAATGGAGAATGGAGAATGGAACGACCGGGGTTGTTTTAGATGGCAGGTATTATAGGTAGCAATACCGGAGAGTATTCCCATGTCACCTCCGCATCTCCAGCGCGATGCGATGCCGGCATGTGGGAGAATGCGGGGAACGTCGTAAGATTGGGACTGGTCGAATTCCACTTCTGGACTGGTTGGAGTCTTGGGACGGAAAGCTCTTCGGCAATGAAGTTGGTCAACTCGTGTCCGAAGTCGGTTTTTAAGTATCAATTCACACAATACTCCTCCATCATCGTCGATGAACGCGGTGGGGTGGCAGCCATCGGGAAAACACCGGTTGTGAGAACGTCTGACTCACGAAGAGCGTGCGAGCAAGACGTATAAGCGAGCCGGTTCGATTGGCTCTTCGTCCTTGCTGGCCTATTTCAGATGGAGACGATTGTGATCCTCTGTTGGTTCGTCCGAGTGGCGTGGTGTATGAATTCTGGAGTGATATCTCCCGGGTCATGCCTGTCGGTACTATGCCATGGATTACCACCGATGACGGGAGAGCGGCCACACACGACGTCGGGCATAATTGTCTCGAGCAGTGTACTCTAACGGAAGAGCAACCTCGGCAAAAAAGATGAAGATCATCACGGGACATCGTCCCCAGGCCGAATGTACCCCAGCCTCGGGTAGGGAGTAGGATAGTTATAGCTGGTGTCCATGACGAAGGGTGGGTGATCCGGGTTCTACAAGAACTGTAAGTGATTGCTTCCAACCCTCCCAACGTAGATTGAACATACATAGAACGAACCCCCCGGTTTATCAAGTCGGGCAAGCTGATTTCTTTCATCTAACCATTCGTCCTGGGTCTTGACACGGCGCTTGCACCAAGTGCATCTTGGGACGGTCTCTTGCGCAACGCCGGCACCGCAAGGGCAATAGAACTGACGGCAGAGCTATTAGCAGGTGTAAAGCAACTACTCACGTGGCTCAATTGACAGGAACTTACATTGCGCCATTTGCCATATATCTCGAGTTGCTTGGTCTCTGAGGCTTCATCGGGACCCCATTCCTCTGGTTGGTTGAGCACATTGTTTTGGCCCGACGCTTCCTGAGTTCGCGTGTCGTAATACGCTGTGGTCTCTTTTCTCTGCGCGTCTTCACATTTGGTACAAAGCCACCTTAGACATAGGTTGCAATCGCATGTGTCGCTGAGTTGTAGCTTCCGATTATCACCTTCGAGCTGGAAGTCACAATCGCGGCAAAGACACATGATGTTGAGAGGGCGCCAGTTGTAGCGCGGCTCGACATAGCTTTCCTCCACGGACAGAAGCCGATCGTAGTACCTGCACTCCTCACAGACGTTGATACCACATCTCCGGCAGGGCAGAGCTCCAGCCTCGTCGCATTTGATGTTGTACAGCTTGACTTCGATTTCCTCGTCCCCGACAACCATGGGAGGGAGGCCGCAGAGAAGAGTCCAGTAGTTTGGACAGTAGCGTCCGCTAAAGTTTTGGCGTTGCACTAAGCCGCGGCCATCGCAGAGACAGAGGCTTTTCAGCTTCTCGAATATTGTACGGGAACCGAGGATGTGGGCGTGGTGGTTACGGTTCGTCTGAGCTATGTGAAGAAGGTCCAAGGCTGAAACATATTCCGCGAGGATGGACAAGATCGGATAAGACGAGATGAGGTGCGAAATGGACGGAGTCGGTGATTTCGGGGCCATGGAGAACATCGAGTGCCCGACAGATCGCGCGGCATACAGATCGATGTCGCATGAGCCTGTGAGGTTGTCTTTTCTGAAAATTTACGACACGTGTGTTCAGGAGCAGATTGTTGCCCGGTCACGGCTCATGGAAGGCGAGTCATCACTGGGATGTGCCTGTCTCAAACCAGGGGGCCGGCCGGGGATGGCGCAGTCCGAAGGTGCTGAGGCCGAGCCACATGTGGCTGGATGAACCACTCGCCTCAAGTCTGTGTCTGATATTATCGTGCTGACGATGAGGTGAGCATCGTGCTGGTCGCCGTTGGTCGAAAGAGAGTCAATTTCGTCAGTTTCGCCGAGAATTCTTGATGAAGCTTTTGCTTTGCTGCATCGGATGACAGGAATTCAAATTGACGGCACCTTAAGGCCGCATCAGGTTCGAGCCTTTGTCCGTAAAGGATGGTGTGCCATGGAGCGACGCCGGGTAGCTGCCGAAGATTGAAGCAGGCCATTGGATCATTCTCCACAGCTGCCAGAGTCAAGAAAGTGATCGGCATGACGGGAGGTTCGAGATTTCCGTAGAGCTCGGAGCTGGCGACGTCAGCTTCGGTCTTCGTCTTTGATGGCTTTACGTTGGACTGGAATTGATACAAGTGTCAGAGAGCGTCTGGTTTCATCGGATGTTGGTGGAAAAGGTTGTTTCAGTCGGTAGCTTCGGCAGGGTCCAGCCTTGACAGCCCCTTTTCTAGCTGTTCTAGAACGTTGAGCCGTGGTGGGAGGATAAACCACTGTGACGTTGATTTGGTTCCAAGGTGAACATGGGAATGGATAAATCAAGGTGAGCAAGGTGACATTGGTGACATTCAAAGGTGAGCAGTGGATATTCCAGATTTCCAGATATTTTCCGGACGCAGCGATGATCAAGTGCCTGGGAAGGTGTGAGATCATCTGGATCGCTCCTGCTGGAATGGCGCTGAAGACTGTTGGAGAAGGAGCTACTGGGAGCTCCCAGGCAGGAAGACCCATAAAAGTGAGTCACAGCCAATCATCGCCGCCATTCGATTATGGTTCCAGGGGGAGGTCTCCGCTCTGGTGGCCTGTGCGACATAAGGCTGCACCGCAAACGGCCAACAGCAACGCAGCAGCAGCAGCCAAAGAGGTCCTCACAGTGCAGGTGGCAGGCACTCTCGGGGGTGGTGCGCGGATGAGATAAGCCAGGTCCGATAAGGATAACACACCTGACCGAAGCTCCAACCTTATCGCGACATCATCCTCGTCGCCTACACCATCCCATCCTGTCCTGTCCTATCCCGTCCCGTCCCATCCTAACCGTCTTCCCGTCCTTCTCTCTATCGCTTCCTTGTTCCTCTTTACATCCTTATCCTCCCCTGGCTCACCTTGGCTTCGCATCTTGGCTTTGCTCTTCCCATCATCACCTTAATCCTATTCCTTTCTACTTAAATATGAATCGCTCCAACTCTTGACCTTTTTGTCGTGAAGCACTTCCTCTCTTTCTCCCCCATTCAACATGGCCAATTCCCCGTCCCACAGGTCTAGCCGGAGCCCAGCCTCGTCCACCTCGGCCGGCCGAGACTCCACGTCCCTTTCACATTCCAGAGACCGCCGTGATGCACCCTCCACGTCAGCCTCCGCCGCTGCCGACCATGTGCCGGTTGAGACATTGGTGGAACACCTGCTCGCCGCCAAACGCTCGCTCTCGTCCATGACGGCCGTCTTGCGAGCAAACGAAATCGCGACCGATGCACGCCAGGCCCATGAGGAGGCAGTTATTTTGTATGCCGAAACCCAGTTCCTGCGACGCGCCATCTCTGAGCAGCTGGCGCTGTTGATGAAGGTTCGCCGTGGTCTCAAGAGAACCTACGATGCCGGCAAGCGCGACTTCAAGCACCTGGTCAAGACCATGGATGCAACCAACGAGAAGCTGCAGGAGACTATGGCCATGCTCAAGAATACAACTGTGGAAGCTGTCTTCAGACCGCCGGGCGAAGAGCGCCGCAATCTGATGGACTTTGTGGACGAAAAGAGCGTCCACGTCATGGTCGAGGCTCTGAAGCAGAGCCTCGGCGAGCTGCAGGTGTGTAAACGTACTCTGCTGCCTCTGGATTTCTCACACTATCTATGATAGTCTAGACGACTGACGGAATGAATTACCTGCAGGCTATCCAAACATCCTTTGATGGCGATCTCCTTCGCTTCGACGATGACCTGCGAGCACTAAAGAAAACGATGACGACGACACCCCTGCCTCGAACGCCCTCCGACTCGTCACAATACGACCCGATACCCGAGCTTCTCGGTTCTCTCGTAGACAGTTCACATGACATGGCCCAACTGCTCACGTCCTTGACTAAACACTTTGACTTGTGCGTCACAGCGGTGCGGACGACAGAGGGCGGCGCGGCTCTTGCTCGTCGTAGGGCGGCGGAGGTGACGCAGTCACAAGGCGGCGATGGTGTATCGTTGTCTGGCGTAATCGCTGACCAAGAGTCGCAAATGCCCGACCTCGAACCGATAACGATGAAAGACCGGGCGGACATGCTGAATGTTGTGGTTAGCGATGCATCAGAGGTCGAGAGTGTCATCCAGGAAATCAACAAGACACTCCAGACCATGGAAGAGGAATTTTCAGCCATGACTGGACAAACAGGACAGATTAAATTGGCGTTCCTCGGCACCCTGCAAGGGTTCACTGCGCTGGAAGAGATGGGCGCTCGTATGGCCAGCTACATTGCGAGCGAGGCCGAGTTCCTCCAGCGGTGGGAGGATGAAACATACACCATCTACAACAAGCTTGGCGAAATGGACGACCTTCGAGACTTTTACGAAAAGTACGCGGGCGCTTATGATAACCTGATCCTGGAGGTCGAGCGGCGCCGCATGGTAGAGGACAAGATTACAAACATTTGGAAGAAGGCGATGGATAGCGTTGACAAACTCGTCGAAAATGATCGACGGGAGCGCGAAGGATTCCGCCAGGATATTGGCGAGTTCATCCCCACGGATCTATGGCCGGGCATGGACGGCGGAATGAAGAGGTGGGAACTCGTCGCGGTTGACGACGGCACCGCCGAGGACGACGTGTCGGGCGGGCAGCGAAGCACGCCGGCGCTGGACCGAAGCGTTGTGGACGCTGCTCGAGACCGATTGGAGAGGAGCCAGCAGCGGTAGGAGCATTGCAGTCTTTCGGATTGGCTTCTGTGTTGATTTAGATTGTTTGAGTGTAAGGATTCACCGGGATATGGTTTCATTGGCGTTCACAACATGGTAAAGACGGCAGCCTCCAGATAGGCAAGGGATACGGTTTCATGGTTTGATGGTTTGGGCGGCGGCAAAGTCTGTTTTGATTATTATTTGGCTAAGCATTTCATCTTCTTCGGTCTTGTATTAAGCGAAGGTATCTTATCAATACCATAAGTTCAATGACTTTCATGGCTCCAGCGACTCGCTCCATCCCCGAGTCGCACGTGTGCTTCTCTACTACACTGTCTCTCCTGGCCCTTGGGATCTTCCGTGATTGTAGGTGCTCCATGGGTCTGGCTGATGTCCATCGAACCCCAGCCGCATTGGGTATTTGTCGGGAGCTGGATTGCCATCAGTCTCTCCCTTCGGCGGTTCTGTTTTCAACCAAGTGTCGGGGAATGATATACATCTGCATTTCTAAACAAGGCTCGCGCGGTATTGTCCAAGGTTGCTGGGTAAGAAGGTGCCCAAGAGAATATCGCTTCGATTGCTTCTTTGCAGAACAATAACTCTCTGCCTTGAGTCTCTCGCTTGCAGCCCCTCTCTTAATCATCCCTCAACCACGTAACACCTCCCGCAACAACTTGGTAGATCCCTCCATTGGGGGACATCTGCGTAGGGGCTACATTGTTGTTATACGTACCCCCAGCTCCGGCCCGAATCCGCCAGACAATCTCGCCAGTCCGGAAGTCTATGGCGGTGAAGTACCATACATACAATCCCTGGCCAGCAAGTTCCTCGTCCTGCGTGTAAGAGTACACGAGACCATTCGCAGTCGAGAGACTAAGAACGCTCGTCGAGCGGACCTCCAAAGCCCACCGGACCTCACACTTACCCTCAGGCGTAATGTCCACCCGCGTAATTCCAGGTGCCAGGGGCGCAAGGTCGTTGAACTCGCCGTTGATATCCGCCCCTTCGCCTAGATCCTGCAGTTCCGGGGCCCCGTAGTTGTTATTCACGACGACGCTGTACGTCGACCCGTCAAAGTACCCGACCATGGCATTCTCATTCGCGCTGGCGCCGGATTCGAATAAAGGGACCTGGCAGACCAGTGGCAGCTCGCCTTCCGCGAGACTTTCAGCTGAAGCAGTGACTTGGCGGTAGATCAAGAGCTTCACTTGCGCGTCGGCGTTATCCGTGATGGCGACGTACTTGTCACCGACTAGGGACGGGGTTGACCCCGAACCCTGCGAGAAGCCGCCTGGCTTAGCAGCGGTACCGGCGTCATATGTCTCGTTCCACAGCGCGGTGATTTTTCCGTCGCTTTCGCTTGGTCTGAAGGCGAACATGTGGCCGGTGCTGCTCCTGTTGGTCTCTGATGCGAGGGGACCGGTGTTGAGGTAGACTGTCTTCCCGCTGACGGCGATTGAGTTTTCGATTCTCTGGCCGTCGAGGGTGATAGTCCGGATTGTTCCGTCTGGGGTCACGTATCCGAGGGTGGAGGAGTCACTTGCAGTAGAGGTTGTCGCGAGCGCAACGGACGTGAACCACACGTTCTGATCCTCGTCGACGTAGCTGCTCACGACGCCGTGGTTCTGAGGCAGGGTCGTAGTGAGATCGATGTCTCGATGAGGGATGAACGTGGTACCGTTCGCATCGTCGACTCTCTCGACTTCGAAGATGTGCCTTTCCATTGTGGGCAGGATGACGGAATCTCCAGCGACGGTGGCGTACGGAGAGAGCAATGTCTGTCCTTCAGGGGCCCAAGACCCTAGCATGTTCATGGCATCCGGGTCAAAGGCTGCGATGCAGAAGTACGGCTCTGCGGCATCCGTGCAGACGGAGCGCGCCGTCAGTCGGTTGTCGCTGTGCCAGTACTGCGCTGATATGGCAACAGACCGGCTGTAGACGTTGGGAGACACGCCGAGGGGACCATCCCAGTCGTTCGTCCTGGTGTTGCCGCCGTCCTGGTGGAAGCCAACTACGTCGGGGCTGTAGCGTGTCTTCATTGGTAGAGGCTGTGCTTGAGCTGGAAGTCCGATGAATGACTGAGCAGAGACGTTCTGGCTTTCGAGAACGACGCCGGTGTCTTCTAGGGGTGACGGAGAAGCCTTCGTCGGTTAGAAGATGGTACTTTGTCTATGGCTTCGAAATCAAAGAGACTTTCAGGAACGTACAAATTGACCCAATGCAGAGTGAAGCTGCAGTGCATTGGCTAGCAGAACCGCAATGAACTTCTTATTGTTGCTCATGTTGAAGTTGTCGATGCGAATGTAATGGCGAAATGGCTATCGAGATGTCCTTGTGGTGAGAACTTGAACAGAATCCTTCTGAAATCTTCATCTCTCTTCCTATATATACCATGTATGAGAACATTGCTATTAAGCTATCTAAGTAGATTCTCTATAGCATCGATCATACGAGTCGCGGGCGTAGTGGTCAGGAAGGTGCCGTATCTTGGCATAGTGTGCCAACACTATAATTGATTGTCAACTCATTTCCGCGGTGTTGACTGTCTGCGCGGGAACTCAGCCACACCACCGCTGTCCACATTTTTGTTCCTCGGACTGAATATCGTCAGCCTCGCATTCGCATAGAGGTCAATTTGTGCTCCCTCGATGATTCTGGAGCGAGGCGCTGGGATAGTCGTATTCGCTATCCGAAGCTATTGGCTCCTTGCCAGACTTGGCAGCGGCGGCAACCTACAGCCTGGCATTTTCTACTCGTATAATCATTCTCAAGAGAGCGCAAATGAGAAGTAATGTGTCGGCCTACTGTATGAAGTTTATGAGCGGATCCTGACTTTCAGGGTAGATCAGGATAAAGGGGGTGCTTGGAAGGCCGGATTTTCAGGTTGCGAACGTCTCACCGAGACATACGAAGACAGGAGCCGTTCGAGCCAGATAATGACATCAGCTATGAAGCAAGCTACAAGACGAACAATATTGATGGTATGAGGTGTCTCGGTGTAGAAGAAGGGATGCTCTTGCATAAGATCGGTGCCATCGAAGGAGACACGGGGGCGGGCAGAAGATGTTACGGCATGATTGATAGGTGTCCAAAGGTCAAATAGCTCACGATAACCAAGCCTTACGCATAGGAATCAAAGAGAAGCCAAAATATGCACAGCCCTTTTGTAAATTGTGCTTCACTCCTTCATACCTGCGCACTTTGGTAGAGGAGGTGATGTGTTGCGATAACCTCAACATCATCAATATCATGTGATCTAGCTTAGGTAAGGTAAATAGCTTTGTTTTTCTGCGCATTGCGAGTAGGCCACGATACCTGGATAGTAAGCTACCTACCTAAACAGCTTACCTAAGATTTTGAGGTCCATCAGTCGCATTCAACAAGTAACTCACTACAGGTAGCCGGCAACGAATGAATGGGAAAGGTCACAGGCTGCCAACAGTCTGTCGGGGGCCCAGGCTCAAGCATGCGAGCTTGGTGTTTATTCAACGGGGTCCCTGCAAGTCGCGGGACCTTGTTTTGGGGGCCACCAAGGCGTGAGGATTCTGGGCCGACGTCTCGCTTGGCACTGGGACTTGAGTGAATTGGGTGGCTGCGAGCTTCAAGTGGGGTGTTTCCTAGGTGCCGATACCCGAGGAGCTGTCTCAGTCATGAGCTGTTCAGTCACCAGATTCGACAATGACATAAGGTACCTTACACATTGTGCCTTGTTGCTGCGGGAAGGTCGCACAACAACACCAACTCATCGCCTGTCAGCCGTCGAGCTATCGCTAATTTTCTGTACCTTGGTGAGAATACTGAGACAGCATTAGTTCGTCCCATGTCCATCGATGATTTGGTACCAGGAAATATGAAGAGAAAACGCGAACTTTGGGGAATTAAGGTACCTTCCTGCATTAGGTGAAGAAAGAGTTACATAAGCACTCTCGAAAGATTGGGGACCCGCCAAGAACCGGGAAGGCCCAGACAAGCCTTGGCACGTGACGCTCGGCACATCGACGCGTAACCCCTGCGCAGCTGAGGGAAGCTGCCAATCCCTGTGACGATGGCCGATTCAAATTCAAGGTCTCGATGTTCCTGCCCAATGACGTTACTATGCACGGCGCACGGGTCGGAGCTAAACTGGATTGGCTTTTAAACTTACTTTATGGATTCCAGTTGGGGCCTTTTGGGTTTGGGTGTTTCTCTACGAACAAGGTGCGATGATGGTTTGATCCAGTGCAGGCCTGGTACCTTAGGTAGGTGGGAGGCCTTTTGGATAACCAACCGATTGATTCCAATTGTTCCTGCTTGCGCTACGCCAGGGAACAGTCCGCGCAAAGAGTACACGCACAGGTACCTGAATAATAATCAAGGTACCTTGAATATGGTACACAGACGAGCGAGGGAGATGGGCAGAAAGAGGGACCAAAGAGGAAAAGAGCGGCCTGCGGTGGCTGCTCCTCCCGTTATTAGTCGATTCAATAGCTCCGTCATTGAATTTGCATTCCAACCACATCTGAGACTGAGACCCTTTCTATTCACCCAGTGCTGTGTTTTGTTTTCTTCCAACCTACCTCACTTCGCCAAGAGCTTGCTTTCTGGACAGCAATCACCACACCATTCGTCCATCGTCCACTCGGGCTGACATTTCCACGGCCGACAAACGAGGTCAATTGCATCGTCGTCGAAGCAATGTCGCAACCCTACGGCGAGTCTGCTGGCTACTACGGTGGTCAGCAGCAACAACAGCAGCCTCCCTACGATCCAAAGTATACCCAGCAGTACAACAACGGATACCAGCAAGACTACAATCAGCAACAAAACTACCAGCAGGGCGGTTACCAGCAAGGCTACGCCCCTCCGCCGCCTCCTCAGCAGGGCTTCGATAATGGGAGCAACGGCTACGGATACAATGCGCCGCCCCAGGGCTACGATCCCGAGAAGTACACTTTTGAGGAAGCATTCAAGATTGAGAAGCCCAAGTGGAACGACCTCTGGGCTGCTATTCTGGTAAGATATATCCTGTCGCGGCGACACCTCCAACACCGCGTCAATCCGATGGTGTTCAATCGCTAACAGCCCGTCGCAGTTCCTCGCCGTCTTTCTTGGCTTCGCTGCGGTCTCGGGCCTGACGATATCCGGCTACTCTGCGACAAAGGGCCTCAATGGCGGTGGAATCTACGACGGAGGTAATACCTTTGGCCTCAGCACAAACACAATCGTCCTCTTCGCCTTCGTTCTCGCGGTCGCAATCGTTCTAAGCTATGCGTACGTCTGGATGGCGCGCCTCTTCCCCAAAGCCTTCATCTGGGTCACGGGCATTCTCAACATCGTCTTCGCCCTCGTCACCGCAATTTACATGCTTTCGCGCAAGTACTACTCGGGTGGCATCGTCTTCCTCATCTTTGGCGTCTTCCTCGTCTTCGCCTTCATCAGCTGGATTCCTCGCATCCCGTTCTCCGCTCTGATGCTCAAGACTTCGATCCAGGTCTCCAAGAAGTACGGCCACGTCTACCTTGTCTCCTTCCTTGGTGGCATGCTTGGTGCCGCTTTCGCGGCTTGGTACTCCGTCACCCTTGTCGCGACCTACTCCAAGTACCAGCCGTCGCAGAACAACCCTCAGTGCAGGAGTGGCCAGTGCAGCCAGGGCAAGGTTATCGGACTAATCGTCTTCATCACCTTTGCCATGTACTGGATCTCGGAGGTGCTCAAGAACGTGATCCACGTCACCATCTCGGGCGTCTACGGCTCGTGGTACTTCTGCGTCAACAACTTCCCCAAGGGCGCGACTCGCGGCGCGCTCAAGCGCTCTCTGACCTACAGCTTCGGCTCCATCAGCTTCGGTAGCTTGATCGTCGCCATCATCAACCTCCTCCGCCACCTGTGTTCCGTCGCCCAACAGCAGTCAGCCGCGGACGGCAACATTGTTTCGTACGTGCTCTTCTGCATCTTGAGCTGCCTCATCTCTCTGCTCGACTGGGCCGTGACGTTCCTCAACCGATATGCCTTCTCGCACATTGCCCTCTACGGCAAGGCCTACATCCCTGCGGCCAAGGACACCTGGAAGATGATTAAGGATCGCGGCATCGACGCCCTTGTCAATGTGAGTATTTCCTTGAAGCCTCCTTTTTCTCGTATCAGTAGACTTATATGTCTCAGGAATGCCTCATCGGCCCTGTTCTCTCCTTCGGCGCCACCTTCATCGGCTACGCCTGTGCATTCCTTGCCTACCTATACATGGTCTTCACCAACCCCGCCTACAACCAGAGCGGCAACTACACCCCTGTGGTCGTCGCCTTCTCCTTCCTCATCGGCCTGCAGATCGCCAACGTCTTCACAACGCCCATCTCGAGTGGTATCGATACCATCTTCGTGGCCTCTGCATGGGACCCCCAGGTCCTCATGCGCGATCACCCTCAACTGTACGACGAGATGGTTCGCGTGTACCCTCAGGTCCAGCAGGCTATCCACGCCTAATGTAGAGTATAATTGTGTAGGAGTGCGAGTCAGTGGAGAGAGTCTCAGAGGAGACGCTGGAAGAGACTGGATACCCCAAGAGAAGTGTAATCCGTCCACTTGGACGCCGAACTTAGTACTAATGAAGAATGGCATTTTATCAATACGTCTTATGTCTGAGTCACTTGCGCCGTGCCTGACTATGTTCCTGTTCGTTGCTGACTGAATCAGAAGTCCGATGCACCAACCTATCGACTCCATCAATCAGCCGTTATACAAAAAGGAAGCCATGACACCGTCTAACAAAAGATGGTGTCCCTAGCAAGGCTCGAACTTGCGACCTTTGGATATCCCTAGATGTTCTAGAGTCATACGTAGTTGATATGAGACCAACGCTCTACCGACTGAGCCATAGAGACAGATGTTCATGTCTGCCTCCGACGGATAGATGGCCAAGGACCCTCAGAGTGGCAGAGGCGGTGAAAAGAAGGGGTTGGGGAACCCGGATGAGCAAAAGATATTGACCAGCCTGGGGGTCGAACCCAGAATCTCCTGATTACACGAATCTCTCAACTCTCGATCGGAGGGATGAAGGGGATCGTAGTCAGACGCCTTGCCATTGGGCCAACCGGCCTTGGAAGAAGATCCAAGTGGAACTGCTTGATGGAGAGTAAGGCAAGATCGGAGTTGATGAAGGAGAATAGACGGGTTTGCGGGGCTGCTGCGAGAAAGGATTAGTCGTGGAGATCATGAAAAATTCTGCAAAGAGTTTTCGCGGATTTGGGTGCAGATTTTTCACGATCGGGGCCGGCCGGCGGTGTTACGGTGGATTGTGGAGGGCGGGTTGTCCGGGTCGGTGACGAGCGGATCGGAGGCGGGGGCCGGTGGTCTGTGGACGGTGACTTTGGGTGGAGAACCCGGGGTCGGAATGGCGTCCGGAACAGAATGGTAGTGTAGCGCTACGACGGCTAACATCTCACGGCATATGACGGCCGGCCGAGTACTTCACCTTGAAGACACCGACCAGTAGGCTCACCTTTTCATCACTCACAGCTAAAGGACACAGACAACATCGAGAAAAACACCAGACCCCTTGCTTCTAGACACGAACATAAGGAAACCGTAACTCGGGCACATTCTTCAACCCTCTTCTTCCAACCTCGCTCCTATTCCAAGCATCCGCGTTGAGGCAGACTGCTCACACACTCTGGCACATGTTCTTGTCCAGGCTCTTGCACCCTCCTCTCCGTCTCGGCGTCTCCACCGGCCACTCTCTCTTTCTCTTATCCACCACCACCACCGCCGCCACCACCATCATCGTACCATTCGAGAATTCTCTCGAAGAACAGCGAAGCTGCGCAGAAGAACCAATAGAATGAGGAAAGAAAAGTCCACCAAAGCTCAAATCGCGCGTCACGCGTTTAATCACTGACGAGCGAGCCATCCGGCTCCGTCAAAGGCGGGGGACATGTGTGAGGAATCTTTCGATTGCTCGTCTCTAGACGAGGCAGACTCTATCTGGGCTGGGCTGCTACCGGCCGCGGAATACCCATCCCGCGCCGTACCGTGGGTTCCCTTCTCTGCGAGATGCCCCCCGATTCCATCGGATTTGTTCCCGTTGCCATCCTTCTCTTTACCCAACCTTTGGGGAAACTTTCGGCTTTCTCCCTTGAAGTGTCTTTCGATTTTGGGCTGCAGCATGGAGCATCCGCTCTTTGACGGCGGGGCCAGACCAAGAAAGTCAAAAATATACTCCCTCAGGTGGTGTTCGTCGCAGTCCCGGATGTAAGCGCTGCATGGGGATCCTTGACCCATGGGACACCTGCGTGCTTGATAAGTGTTAGCTTGGGACACTCAACGAGATAATCTCAAGTATTGGGGATACGACCGCCTTACCATACATCCGCTTCACCAAAGCTCCATGCTTGCAAGAGTAAATAAATCCTCCTCTACGTTGGTTAGTAGTACGCTTGAGCGGCTTGACGCCCGTCAGACTCTCCCAACGACTTTGGCCGGGCCATGTTCCATACGTCTTCTTCTCCAGGTCAAGAGGGCGGCCGTTCAACAAACGCACACCCATGATGTCTCCTAGTAATCTCCTACGCTGTGAGCAACTTCGCTGATAACCTTCTCGGACCAACAGTGATCGATCAAGAAAGCGAAATGTCCCCTGTTCTGTCCTTCTGGATGATGAGGAGAAAGGAAGAAAGCAAAGTTGTAGGAAGAAGATGTCAGGAGAAGAAGACACAAGAAGAAGAAGATGGAAAGAAGAGGATGGAAAGATGAGGATGGAAAGATGTGGATGGAAAGAAGAGGATGGAAAGAAGAGGATGGAAAGAAGAGGATGGAAGATTGAAGATGCATGGAAGCCTGATCATTTATGCCTCGACGCGCTCGTCGCGTCTGCCTGCCCGAGTCACGTGTGAGCGACTGCAGGGAACTCTTTTCGTCAGCATCGAGACGACAAGACTGGCTCATTCTCACACTGCTGCATCCAGTCACTCATATGTCGAGATTCCAATCTGCAGGCGTCGGCCTATCATTTTCCCTTCCCAACGTACCTCACATGATGACTGATCATTGAACTTTTGATGAGGTGGTTTCCAGTCAAGTGACTGACGAAAGAACTGCAGGCTGGTGTTGCTGCCTTTACATGTTGGAGATCACGTGACACAACTTTGAACGCAGCACATCGGCATTAACTTTGCTATTTTGCTATTGAACTTGAGGCTTACAAACAAGGACCGTGTGATAGCTTTTTTTTTTAGGAGGGCAAGAACATCTCAGCGATGAAAGCCCTTGATCTCACGTGGCGGCTTCAGAACTTGCATCCCTTCCACTTGGCCGGGTCCGAAGAGATCGAACATCGAGGTCATCAAACAGAATAGATGAGTGTCTCCGACATCTCAGGCGTCATACCCGCATAATCTACAATAGCTTCCCACGGGTAAAATTGGAAGCAGACTTGGACGCAGAAAACTACGTGAAGTCAGGCGGTTAACTTTATGCAGAACCTCGAGGCTTTCGGGAGTGCCTGAATAGAGTACCTTCTATCTGGTAATGGACACCCCTCTTCCTATCCCAGCTCTTCTCTTCAAAGAACTTCACAACTCGCAAATACAGCACTGTCACCTCATCAAGCGCATTTTTTTGTCTCTTTCCTCCTGTCATCTCATGCTTGTTCAGACTTGATCGATCCATTCGTCCTTCTTCATGTAATACGCGAGGGCCAGCTAATCCAGCCGTCCCACAACGTCAACTCTATCGGCGGCCACCGCTTCGTCTCGATAGAATACTTTCTGGAGAAGACGCTTCTCCGGGCCAAGATCTTCGCTGAGTAAAAAGTCGAAACTCGTCTTGGCAAGGAACGGCTCACCGTCCCATGTCTTCTAGTTCAGCATTTGCATCCAAATGTACTTCAAGTCGTCTCTCCAGGCCACTTCTCAGTGGTGATCCTTCATTCCTGGATGATTGAGCTTCACGCCGAGCCTGACAAGAATCCTGCAAGTAGCAAGTCGTCATTTCTCAGAGGTCATCATCATTAAGGGCGTTTTTCGTTTCCCATCTCGAGGGCTGAGGTTGAGACTATGCTGGATGAGTCTCTCAAGGAGCGAGTAATGCTCCTCCAGTGATTCACCTTCTATTGGCGGAGGCCGTGGCCGGAGATCACATCCCCAGAGATGTATGGTATGAGGCATCTCGGGCGAGTGGGGAGGTCTCGGGATCATGTGGGATTCTGCAGATGGTAGAATGGCCGCTCCACTGTCAAAGAGACTGGCCCCTTGCTTTATCACATACTTGGCTAGTAATCCTATCGTGTCTGTCAGTACCAGGTCGGTCTCATGCTTCTTGGCCCGCACAGGGCCACGGAAGCACGGGTTCTTTTCGCGCCTGTTTGCCTATGAATCGACAGCGAAGAATACCAGGCTTCCGCCGAAAGTGGCTGGAGTGATGATAGGAAAACCTTGGGAAAGCAAGAGTTCCAGGAGATTAAGTTGAAACCAGGCAATTGCGATATAAATGTGAAGTGGGTTGGATGAGATGCTTAGCGTGGACTTCACTGCGACGCCGATGAGCTCTGCCATGTGATGTATGTCGGTCAGATGGATAAAGTATTGGTTTTTGTAGCTTAAGGCCGAATGCCAGGTCGTGTTGTGTAGGTGTTTTGTGGAAGAATGGGAGACATCCTATATTGATGGGTCTTCTTTCCATTAAGCCCCAGTCCACTTTCGGACACGAATTGCCCAGATCGATCACTATTGCAAAAGCACCTGCATGGCTAGAAACGGGCATGGTCTCTACCGGCACAGTACCACGTGGAGAAGTGCCACAAGCTGCAATCATCTGAGGCGTTCCAAAAGATAACGTTGGGATCCACTTCAGCCTTCACCAAGAGGACCAAGAGGAGTGATAATCAAAATCGGCTACGCTCACAGTTTCGACAAGAAGTGTACAAGTAAGGCTTCAACAAGTTTCCGATGCCGTGAAATGGATAGTCCTAGAATCGACTTAGCCAAAATATCTAGGTTTTCAAATTCTTTCGAGCCACGACCTCACGTAAAGTGTCTTCAGGACTTTTTATGTCACATCCGCAAAACCGGCATGACTACAACGTCCCTTTTGCGACGGCAAGCGTTATAACTTGGGCATGCTACATATTCTTAAGTTTTGAATCCCTGTCGTATGGTCATATGGCCCATAACCGTTGAAACTCAAGTGGGAGCCGGCCGATTAGTAATCTACCCCTTGACTTCAACGACTGCCTAGGAATGACTCGGAAACCATACGTGTCGAGATACATCATACGAAGGCAAGTACTCAGATGCCTCCTGTTTCTTTGCATGGTAATGGTGTCCTTTTAACCGGTAGAAACGTGAAAGCAAGTCCATGCACCGTAATGCCGGTTTTCCAAAATTTTAATTCACAACTACGCTTGCAACTCAACCTCATCACTACTCGTCCAGCAAGACATGGCGAAATCGTTCTTTGCGAGAATCTTTCGACCGCCTTGGTCTAACACGACTTCACAAGGGTCACAATCTCTCAGCAACGAAGCTCCTGAAAATGCGTATGACTTAATTGAACCATGGATCAAGACCGACTTGGATATACCTATAGATGCAACCAACCGCGATAGATGGCCCAGCCTCATCTTGCAGGCCCGAAGGCATATGAGATGCCACCCCTATCATCCAAAACGCCTACCCAAAAGCTATCGCCCTTTCCAAATGATCGTGGACTCTCCAGAAGACGAAGACGAGAGGTCAAAGAAGGAAGTCGATATATCCGAACCGCCTACGTTCTTCCTATTCACGGATCTACCAAAAGAGCTCAGAGACAAGATCTTGCTCTCGTCACAGACCCCGATCACCATGGAGGGTTTCGCAGTGATGGACGAAGAATGGAGAGGGGGCCCGCAAGTACACTTCCGCTCGTACAGGTCCTGGACTCGAATACCTCTCTACGCCGTGAGCCGCGAGACGAGAGCGCTGGCCATCGCCTTCTTCGGCAAACCGGATCCGCTCTCTGTGCCGTTCAACCCGTCTCAAGACGTCATCTTCTTGGATTGGGATGATTCCAAACAGGCTGAGCGTCGCTGGACGGGCAACCACAGAAGCCCAGGGCCCGTACTGATGACTCCCCGATGGAACGCAGCCGAGGAGTGGGCTATGCCGAGGGAACTGTGTGATAGAATCTGCCACATCAAGGTTGACGCGCGCCACGCCTCTTCCGAGAATGCAGACAAGGCAGACAAGGTGCCTTGGCGGCTTGTTTTTGGGCTGCTCAAAGAGCACTTCTCTAACATTACGATGTTGGAGGTGAAGCTGTCGGACTTGGACGATAAGAGGTTCGAGGGAACGTACGATCCGGTTGGTCAGGAGCTTTATAGGATTGATCAGCTGGATCTTTTGGACGAGCTGGAAGAAATGTCTGGGGATGGGCGGGTGCCGTTCCAGAGCTTAAGGCGCTTTATCATCACACCGGAACTCCCGACTCCTCTCCAGGCTGAGAGACAGATTCTCAAGTTTCGAAAGGTGGGGGGCAGCCATTTCAAAGTCTTTAGACAGGGCCAAATTCCCAAGGTTGGATAGTGAACCATGTTTCTACAAGGTAGTTTATGGATCATGCGCGGGACCTCAACTGGGTAGTATCATTTGGCCAAGTCTTCTTTGAAACTTCTGGCCATGTAGCTATCTGGTACTAATACATAGTTCATGCTTTGCCCTACAAACACCTCACAACACCGTTGTGTGAATGAGCGAATTGCCTACCTGGGAAGCTTGCGCACTTCCTATGCAAAATGTGGTGAGCTACAGGTAACTTTCCTGGAGTCCAGACTTCAGGAAATCTGGCTATCATTCCGGCCGTTTGTAATCAGAGGCAGGAATCCCGAAGATTTGATCAAATTTCCACAGAGCGTCCGGAAACTCGTCCAAATCCCTCACATCCGCCCCGCTTTCAAGTAGCAGTCTGGCCGTCTTCTCAGCGTGACCTCGCTCGTACCTAAAGACCTCCGATGTACGCAGAGCAACAACAAGTGGAGGCAAGTGTCCGATCCTACCCAAGGACAGCCAACGTCCACCGGTAAGGCCTGCACCAGCCTCCAGCAGGGCGCGGACAACGTCTACCTCCCGACCCTCAGCTGCGATAGACAAGGCCGTCCGTAGGATCATTTGACCAAAAGCCCCAGTCAAAGTCGGTGCTATGCACCTCACGAATGTCAACCGCGACGCGTGCCAGACCTGGTATCTCGCCTCTGCTTGGGCGTCGCCTCTCGCGGAATAACGTAACAACCCATATGAAAAGGCGTGCATACTCGGCAGACACGCTATCTCAAGGGGCGTGAAGTCCTGGACCTGAAGACCGTTGCCGTTGCACCTCATGTGGTACACGCCGCCCTGCGAGAGAGGCCGTTGAACCATTACAGGACAGCCGGCGCGAATGAATGCCGTAGTGGGCGAAGCTCCGATCGAGAGGAGGACACGCGCCTGGTCAAAAATGCCCATGTAGCAGGCCTCTATGAGAAGCGTGTGTCCCAAGCCGCGGTCGTCGTCCACATTGGCCCCGTGATGAACTAGTAAGGCAGCCCAATCCGCAAAGAAGTCTGGCCGTCTTTTCTTGTTGATTGACAGATAGAAGGCATGCATCAGAGCGGTTCGGCCATCCATGTACGTCCATCTTACATTGACGTCGGCGCCAAAGAAAAAATAATTGCCAATGGCCATGTAGTAGTTGTTGAAGGATAAGTGTCGAAGGAAGAACGCCGCCACCCTCAAGAAATCATGATTCATGAGGCTTGCCAGCGTCAGTCTCGTGTAGAATCGGACGAGATAACCCAAGTCCATTGCTAGCACTGTTGGCAAGACCCTCAGCAGCATCTCTTCGTCGTCGTGGTCAAGAGCCATGTCGCAGAGACGCCAATATACCCCGCGTGTCTTTCCTTCTGCGTCGAGAAGTTCAGGATTGAGTAGTATTTTCCAATTGGGTTTGTGGTTGCACAGCAAGGTGAAGGCTTCGTAGTTGGCTTGATGGACAGCGATACTGAGCGGCGTCAGACAAAGTTCGTCGGGCATTGCTCGTCGGAGGCGGTGTATTTTGACAGCCGCTTTTGTGTGACAACGCGTCACGAAAATCTCGTCAAATTCTTGGTAAAAGAACCGCCGAAAGATGTTCTTCGGACTAACAAGAAACGGCGGATAGGACAGTAGTCGACTGGCAAGTTCCATAACGCGAATCTTTGCATTCTGGCTTGCTCCCGCCTTGAGGAATCTCTTCATGAGATCAATTCTGCCGAGTACGGTGGCCCAGTGGAGTAGATAGGGGTGTCTGTCAACCACCCTTTTGTGATAGATGGGGATGCAGCAATGATAAAAGCCTTTGCACGTTCGAGATAGTGCGTATATGTCATCTACTACTCGAACGTCGACGCATTGAGCAATCCTCTCGATGATTTCCATTGGAAGAGTGAATATTGACGTCGGGGCTGAGGCCGACGACGCTGTCTCAACTTGAGTGGGAGCATCACTAAGATGCTCTGCTCTCATCCTTTCTCTTGTTTGGATGTGTTGATGCGGTACCCAGTATGTTGCTGAAAGTTATAAGGTGGATGTGAAGCTCCAGGTTCCAACTTCTAAAAGGCGGCTTGCGGGAATGTAATCTCTTACATTTGAATAAAACAGGCGACATCTAGTTTTCAGATCGAATAGCTTGATCATGAAGTTGAAGATGGGCTAGCTGCCGCGGGGACTGAAATGTCTAATAAAAGCTTGATTTTGACACTTCGGAGATACTTATGGTGTCAATACCTTGAAGAAGTTGGTTTGCAGGTGTTTGAGGAACTACATGGTGGCGTTTCGGAGATGGCTACGGTATCGTCGATACATTCAAATCACAAACATTTCCAGTCAATCAGACCGTTGAGGTTGCCGTCATCGCTTCCTAGATTATCATCAACTATGGGAGCAAGCAAGAAATAAACCGCGGCCACCTTCAAACAACAAAGCTAGGAGAGATCAACCACCTCAGCTGAGTGATAAAGACTATCGTCAATGAACGAAACAAATTGGACCATGCGAGCTGTAGTAAACTTGGCATTTACTTACATCACGATATCCTTCAAGGTCAATGGATTGCTATGGAGATAATTTGTATGTGTATGGCACAGAATGGGAGCCGCCACAATTCCCATGATGTTCTTCGCCAGAACCAAATTTATTCTCATAACAGAATCACAATAACCTTCACGGCATAATATGTCGTCTGGAGAATGTCTATCCCAACAAAACTATCACCAAATCTATCTCCGACTAGGTTCTCAACGCAGATGACTGATTCCATAGCCATCTCCGTTACCATGCCATCGCACGGTCGACAAAGCAACCGATACGGATAGAGCAACGTTTTGACTCAAAGGCCGTCTCATTTGGGCCAGGAATAAATTGAAAATTGTCATCTGGTCAAGCTCTGATAGTACGACTAAGTACCTTAGGCAGGGCGGCCGCGAGTACTCAACCCGCGGCAGAATAAGCGTTTCGAACACCGAGTACCGCAATATCGCGGCAATGATGTTGACCAGTGATCCTATTCAGACAAGGGACAAGTATTTGTGGTTGAGAACTTGAAGGTAGCAAGGCAAGTCATTATAGCATCTGATCAGGGTACGACCTGGTCTCTCGTACTACGATGGATGTCACCGGCCCGTGACGACTTCAAGAGTAACTATTCCGCAACTGCCTACAGCGTCTCGTAACATGTTCCCACATCATTTACATTATAGGAACGCACCATAATACTCTCTCCGAATCAGCTTACTCTAACACCCAATCTTCACACAAGATGTTGTCTTCACCTCCCATACTTTATCCAGACAGCACATCCTCCCACAAAGAAAATCCCTAACAGTATCAAATTCGTCAATACCCCCTCAACCCACCTCTTAATCGCCATCTCCTCCCTCGCCTTCCAGCCGCCCCCAGGCCCAGCGGCATTCGCGTGCGGGAACGGCACATCGGGCACCTCCTTACCCAGAAACTTGCACAGGGGCTCCCATCCTTCATCGGCGGACCACTCGAGCAATCGGTCAGCGGGCACCATGCCTCGGATCATGTCGCAGTGTTCTAATACGTGCCGTTAGTCCCGTCATCCCACGAGGTTTTCCTGCCACGAGGCGTGGGTCCGTCTTTTCGGCGGAGGTCTCGTAGATCAGACCACGAGCATCCACTCAAGGCCAGGCAAGACTCTTGTGACGCGCGTGCAGAAAAGGCTTGTGCTTGAAAGACGCAATAGAAAAGGCTTGACCCCCCCAAAAAGCAACATGGAGCCGACACTAAAGCAGTAGTCAAGACAAGAAAAAGAAAAATACTTACCACGATAAACCCACTTGCCGTTCCTCCTAATCGCTCTCGCCATATCGCCATCCGGCGCGCGGAAGAACAGGGCCCACAAGAACCTCTCATACACGTGCCACGCCCAAAACGCCTCTCGATCCAACAGACTCGACACCCAGAAGCTCCAGCTCTCGTTCACGTGAACCAGCGTTTTGACCGCGCTCTTATGCCACGAGTCAAGGTCCCGCCGCACATTGAGCACAACTTTGGCCTCGGGGTACGCTCGGATCATCTCCGCCGCAAAGCAGCTCGCCGCTGCGTCCGTCACCGCGACACAGTGGCCCAGCAGCTCGTCAAATTCCTCAGCTGTGATCTGGCAGTCGCCTTCTGATGATGTGTCATCAATCTCTCTGCCTCCTTTGCGTTTCGGCGAGGATGACCCGCCACCGCCGTACCACTTCTTCCGAGCAAGCTTCACCCATTCCGTAGCAGGAATCGGCGGGTCGTCGTAGACGATATCCCAGCCGTGATAGGTATGATCGTACCCGAGCGCAAGTAGAGCCTGCTGCAGGGACTCGGTAGCGCTGCGCGGCGGACCGACGCAGAGAACTTGCATCGGCTTCGTGCGCTTGCGCTTCGGCGGTGGTGGGATGCGGTAGACGTGGTTCTCTAGGAAGCGCCACCACCAATGGTCGAGGCTTGACATTGGCGAATGCATGGCGGCACGGTACGTTTTGTTTCGTTCCGTTTCGTTTCGTTGGCGGCAAATTCGTCTCCCGCGGTCGCTAGTTTAGTCCCGCGTCTGTCGGTTGTTCCCGTAGCTCGACCCGATGTTTCTCGCGGGTATTTCGTCTCGTTCCGTTAGTACTTCGCTATGAATTGCGAGTGTCTTTGAGCGCCGGTGATCTCAAGATTCCCAAAGACCGAAGATGAGCTGAGCTGCAGATGAAAAGAAGCCACAACCGAGCGTGCATATGTTCGTGCCGCAGACATCAAAACGTGCGACAGCTCTCGTATTATATAACAGCAGAGAGCTCTCTACCCCCAGTCAGGTCACTCCACCGAGAGGAAACAGGAGACATGTGCTCACAGACAATGGAAACGTTTTGTTGGAGACCGTCGTGCCGCCATAGCGTTTGGAGAGCTGACTTTTTCGTTTCTTCTCCTGCTACAATAAGTAGCAAGCAAGCGGCAGGAAGATTGCATGATCCATCCCTACAAATTCCGAGAACGAAGGAGGGTTACTTTACAAAACGCTGGCGCGGAAGGGGAGAACATGGGTATCGGATGAGGGGCAGAGGCACAGAAGCATGAAGGACAGCCTCCGCACGGCGCACGGCTCGGCCGCGGTGCTCTCGCCTTCCCCACATCCGATACCTCCGCAAAGCGTCAGCACTCGAGAACTAGAAAGCTTGCTTCCAGGACAGCTCTGCGTAATCAGGGAAGTGAACCAACTTGACAGACGTCTGTTTGGAACTTGAAATGCCTTGGTATAATGTGATGCGCCGGCCGAACGAGGCGAGCCTTAGACGAACCGTGACGTGTGACGGGGCCTATACATGAACCGAGACAAGCCTGCCTTTTAGGCTGTCAACCTTCGGTCTCGGCTTCTCAGCCATGCTTGCAAACCCAGTATCCAGTCTTGCTCCCCTCTGCTGAGTCTAACGACCGCCAGAACTTGGTCCATCCAGGGCGACCGTCGCTCCGCAGGTACTCCACCTCCTTGACCTCGCCCTCGCTCTTCTGGCTCTCTGCTGTGAGAAGTGCTGTGTAGAGTGATTGATAAAACAGAACCTGCTTCTCAATCTCCACTGGCATCGCGTCAATGGGACCTAGGATGAGAGACTCCAGCTCGTCTGTGTCCACCTCACCGAGAGTGGAGATGAGGAGCGTTGTCACATTTGGTCGAGGAACCGGGACCCTACGAACGGAGCCCTCAAACGAAATATGTAACCGACGGAGGGCAGGGAAGTTTGGCGCGATGCTTTTGATAATGTTCAGATACTGGTCTCGGGGGCTCAGTGCGCGAAGCTCAGTGATCGTGGGTGCTCCAGGTGATGGCCGCGGGGACTTGTCTAACGATTTGTCGACAAGGGACTCATCACGATCCGGTATGCGTATTTCTAGCGATGTGATCCAAGTGAGGTGCGGCGTAGCGATGGCGTACGGAAAATACATAGCCTCAAGCCTCTGCTCGAACTTGAATGTGTTGCTCGCGTACAAGACCTGTATCGTCTCGTCGTAGCTGTAATTCAGTCAGTACCGGTCATCTGATGTGACACAACCGCTGTTGGCTTAGTCTCATGCGTCACGATGAACTCGCCCAGGTGCGGAGAGCAAACTCACGCTCTTCGGCATGTTAGCAGCCACGGGAGTATACCCAGATATGTCTCCTTAGGACCACAAGTCTGGTAGAACCCTCTAGGACACTGATCAGACAGTTTAATCTCGAGCTTGCGGTCCTCGGGGCCGCACACGCAGCTCCACCAGTACCACTGCGGCGTCATACTGGCATCGGCAAAAGGCGGATCCATAGGCGACACGCTCGGTGAATGGGGATACCAAGCCGGCACAGGTTGATGGCCTTTCCTCCATCTCACATCTGGCTGGAGGCTGCGGCGATACAGTAAGTACAGGTGTAGAATCTTGCGGCCAAAAGCCAGCTGGTAAATCTGGTAGCGGAGGTCGGATGAGAGGACCTCGAAGAACGGCCCCGCAGAGCCACCCGCACGCTTCTTCGCTTCCCTGGACGGCTGCCGTGTCCGAATGGGCAGAGAAATCTGGTAAGAGGCGACGGCCTCGGCGTCGGGGGTTACTTCGGCTCGGTCGTCTCCCTTGATCGACGTGGCCGGGACTGCGTCCGCATCCGGAGCGGTGAGAGGCGCGTCGCGCGGCATGGCCCGCGGTAATGTGTCGCGACCCAGGGTTGGTATTTGGAGGGGTAGTTCCGACATGGCTGCTGGGCGCCGTACCTAACGGCAGAGCAGATGGCGGCGCAGATTTTGATCAGTTTGCCCGACTATCTGCTGTTCTTGTTGAAGTTAAGAGAGCAAGAGATGTTGCAGGAGTAAGGAAACCCAGTGAGGTAAGGCAGCAGATGGTCTTGCAGACTTGAAGTACCGCCTAAATGAACCATCTGGACGCCGGGCATGACTCCGAGAAGGTCCCGGATCGGTGCGACTGCCCTGAATTTGGCGATAAGGCGGTATTCGGTACGTACTCTTCATCAGGTCCCAGTTCCAGGAAGGTCCTCCACACAGTACGAAACTTGGCAGGGAAGAGCAGCCAGCGGATTGGCGAACGGCCATGTTACAGTGCCTAGACTGTACCCCTGAATCCTGCCACTGAAGCAACCGCAAGCGGCCTTAGGTCAAGAATGCAGATGCGTCTGGGAGGATTCAGCCATGAAGGCAACTCTGGAAGAAATCAATCACTAAGGCAACCCGGATTGGCGGCGCATCTGTGAGGGCTCAACCTCACGTTTGTCAAAATTTCACTGGCAAGTCAGCCTCGGGAATAAGACAGATGATTCTCTTAATGTTCGCGTCTTGACAAGAGCCTGAAACTATGCTAGCAACTTTCCCCAGCATCACGCCCCTGAACTAATGGCTGTTGGTGACTATCAGGCCTCAGAGCCTCCAAAAATCTTCCAAGCAAGTAACATTCTCACCGTCCACCCTTGTTTCTCGTTGTTTCTTTCTCGTATATGCTCATACATGAGCGGTAAGTAACTAGAAACCCATCGCGATCAGAACCCCAACGACGATGCCAATGCCCGAGACTGTGAGCCGCTGCGCTGGGCTCTGAGTCACGACGGCTGGCGTGGATGTCGCGGTGGTAGCAGGAGGGTCGTCCGTCAGAATGAGAGTCTGGAACATCGGTCCATCGGGGGTTGATGTAGCAACGGCCGCAGTGACATTGCCGGGAGGAGGAACGGCAACGGGAGGGTCGTCGTACGAGGTCAGACTGGTGACGTCGGGGTCGCTGGGAGTCGTCTGAGATGGCGAGGACGGGTTGGTGTATGTCTCAGTCATTGGCGCTGCCGGTGGTGCGGTAGCCACGGGAGGATCCGACTGGACACTGCCGTAACTCTGCAATCCAGGGGTGCTCTTCGGCGGGACATGAACGATGACCGTCTGAACGACAACTGTGGGAGCTGAAGGAGGCGCTGGCGCCAGAGTAGTGGGAGTGCCCGACAGCACGGTGCAGGAAGTTGTCAGACCATCACTACCAGGCGTGACGCTCTGGATGATGACGGTAGATCTTGTAGCCAGTTTCACGGTACGGGTGATGGGAGGGAGACGGATGGTGGAGTACGTGATATCTGAACCTGGATCATTGCCAACTGGACCAGTCGAGGCCGGGCCAGCGGGAGACGGATCAGAGGGGAGCGGCATCTCGTTACAGGCCTTGTACACATTGGCATAGCTGCAGGTCGGGGGGTTGAAAAATCCACACTGGCCAAGCGCGGTGTTGCGGTTGCACGGGTAGCTACAGAGAGCCTCGTTCACGACTGGGAAGCTCTGGATGCTGCTCCCACAACGACAACCACTATTGCGGCGGAACAATCCATCATCAGTATCAATGTTCAGTTGGGATGATAATGTAGAGAATGGCCACGCATATGCCCTGGAAGATGACTTACTCGGGGAAAGTAGCAGCGTAGTTGCGACCGGTGCAAGCAGACTGGCACTGCTCAGGGGTGTAGCCTTTACCAAAGTCGACAAAAGCGTCGAACTTGTCCAAGGTGACACTGACGCATCCGAGATACTCGAAGCCGTAGATGACATGGTTGGCCTGAGCCGCGACCATGACAGCCACCAGCAAGATGAGGAGAGGCTTCAACATGTTGAGCGGTCGTCGGGAGTAACGAGTGGAGGTAGTTTTGCCTTGAAAAAGGTCGGAAATCGGCAACGTCTTCGTGAAGGTGGAAGAAACGGGTGATGATGGACTCAGAGTTGACGATGAGAGAGTGTCCGAATTGTGATCCTGTGGAGGGTTGGAGGAATTTGTGGAAGAAAAAGAGGCGAGACCTAAGGATCCGTGAGAAGAGGTAAGAACGGAATGCCTCGATACCTTCCGCCGTCAACGTGAAATTGCGGAAGGCAGGAGTAAGGTACAGGAAGGCGGGGATACGTGCCTTCCTCACCTTCGGATGTCGCTCACCTTCGCAGCTAAGTACTCTGGTACCATACGAGGCAGGTAGGCAGCCCGTCCCACCTTGGGCAGAGGGAAAGAGGCATATTGAGGAAAGGGCAGGGTGTCACATCACGAAGTTCAAAGGAAGAAATGGCGAAGAAGATGCCTTGGATTATCTGCTCGGTCTATGTCGTCACAGATGGAAGGGCTCGACCTGAACAGCCCACACTCTTCCATGCCCAGGTCCTAACACCGCCGCAGAATGGTAGCAATCGTCAGAGCTCTCCTTGATCATCATGATACCCTCGAGGCGTGTGAAACCTCCAGAGCATTCTAGAGCCAGTTATGACGGGCAAGGAGCGGTTACGGCGCAAGAGCCAAAACACGGCATCCCGCCCGTCCGTGGCCGATCGAGTCTTCATCACCCGATTGCATACACATGAATATGTCCTCCGCCGCCAGACCTATCCTCGCTGGAGCCCATGCGGCTCGCTTGCTCTAGTCCCCGAGTCAGCAGTTTAGTGCTTCTTTCTTGACGACGCAGAGACGAGCTTCTTCTTGACGCTCTTGGGAATCTTCTCCTTGCGCTTCTCGCGCTTCGCCTCCTTGACCGCTTGCTTGTGTTGCTGTATTGTGTTAGTAACGCTACTCCTCAAAGATCACGCGATTAGACTTGCCTTCTTCTCCTCCTTGTCCTCGTGCTTGCGCCCCCTAGGCCGGCCCTTGTCAAACTTAGAATCGTCCTCCTCGCCACTGGCCAGAGAAGCTCCGCTGCCTGACTCGTCCTCTGACGTCTCTTCCTCTTCCTCTTCCTTCTCTTCGTCCTTGACAACAGTGTCGGCCAAAAGGTTCTTGTAGACAAGCTTATCACCATCACCCTGCCCAATCTTGGCGGCATCCTTCTCAATGTCGTAAACCTGCTCGAGGGTCTGGGGAATGTACTGTTTCCGGAAGACCTCGTTGTCAACCTCCTGCTCGGCAGCAGCTTCCTCGTTGTCCGCAGGTCTGTTGGTGTATAACTGCTCGATAGCCTCGCCCAGGGCGGGCTCTTCGACAGGCCCGTCTGTCGCAGAGATGAAGTCAAAGATGCTGCGGTCGCTGAGCGTATCGACGCCCTTTCTCCTGAAGAAGTCGCCGACGTTCTTGATATCCATGCGCAGGAACTCCAACGCCCGCGGGTGATCGGGCTCTACACTCTGGGATACATCAATGATATACAGCTTTCCAGCGTTGTACAGGATGTTGTACTCGCTCAAATCGGCGTGGACGAGCCTGCAAATCTGGTATATCCGGCGCATGAGGCCCAGCAACTGAACATACAGTGCCCTCCACTGCTCTTCGACGTCGTCCCCAGTCAGATTTGCGTCTCTCAGGCGGGGATACGCCCATCCCTTCTTGTCGCCAAGGAAACCCATGGCCAGAACATGCAGCTTCAGGCTGATGGGTTCTGGGCACGGGATACCCGCAGTGTGTATTCTCCTTAGGTTACGGAACTCCTTCTCAGCCCACAGCTTGACCATCTTTCTGTTGCTGCTCTTGTCGAAACCCTTCTGGAAACGATGCTCGCCAGCGATGTATCTTTCGCGATCCTTGAAGACGAGAATCGAAGTCTTGTACACCTTAATGGCGCGCTGAACATTAGGACCGTCTCCCTCGGGGTGCAGAATGGCGTGGTAGACGTTGGCCTCTTTTCCAGTGCTGATGGCACCGTGGATTTCACTGACGATGCCGCGGTTGATCATCTGCAGCAGGATCATACGCGTACGCTGATCCAGAACCTGCTCACTTGTCGCGCGGTCCGCCTTGTCCTTGCTCTTCTCATCGGTATCCTTGACGCTATCCAATCTGATCTTGGCAGCATGCTTGGAAAGTGCTGTGATCTGGTCGTCGACACTCGACTTGGTATTGGCGGTCGGTCTCTGGACGTTGGAACGCGGGACGGCGTTGTCGTTGCTGTTGAACATGCGCTGGCGGTTGTAGGACTTTGTCAGATCGCCAGAGTCGGCAGTCCAGTCCTCGTCATCAATCTCTTCATCCTCGCCAAAGACGTCCTCCAAGTCGTCGTCGTCTTCTTCCTGGCCTGTGGCATCGTGGGGCACGATTCTCAGCTCGGCGGGGATGTCTTCGGTCTGTTCGTAGCCCTGGTTGGGGCGGTATGTATAGGGGGGCTCATGGGGAGCAGCGGGAGACTCGTTGGAAGCCATGTTGAGCACTTCTCCTTTGGATTGGCGGTGCTCGTGATGTAGCTTGTCTGTGGCTTGGTGCTGCCTCGAGGCTTTTCAAGGTAGAAAAAGTGGTTGCTTAGAGCGTGGATGTTGAGTACCCCTCTGCCCCTCCATCGTCGCCCGGGATTTTCGAATTTTTTATCTTATCAGCGGTGGCGGGCGTGGCGGGGTCGTTGGACTCATTTTGGGGGGAGATTTGGGGTCCGTGCCCAATGATGAGTCAACATCACGGCGAGTGACTGCGGTTTCTCAGTGAATCAAGGTGAATCACCGCTGGCAATTTGGAAAGGTGAGCACTAGAAATGCGCTCGCTAAAGAAATAGGCGAAGCTCGCGCCGCATCCGACAAGCGGGTCCAATTGACGTGCGTTCCAAGTCAGGTACGAAGAGGTACGGAGTACCTGCACCTCCCGTTAATTCTCCGGTAGTAATGAGACACCTCAGGCGCTGACCGCCAACTTCAACTCGTGACAAGACAACACAGCGCGAGCTGAGAGATGGACGCCCCAACTCCACCCCGACATCGCCTCGACGCGGCAAGGTGTCTGACTACCTATGCAGCATGCAACATGCATACAACGCACCTCATCATGGATCGTCTTAAGGTTGCGTCTGCCGCGGCATGCGAACTTGACCGCCTCGGTCCACGAACAAGCCAACGGGGTTCCGAGATGTCGCCTCGGGTGTGGTTCCTTAAGTCTCGGCCGGATGTTTTAGTCTAGACAAGCTATTGTGAAAGTCCTGGACGGTTATAATTTCCATTTTTGCTTCACCGATTACGTCTCATTCTAGGACACGAAGGCGTCCGCTTTAACAACAGAGACCGAGACGGGCGTTCCAGGGTGCAATCCAGGCTATTTTGGAATAGACATCATGTTCCTAGAAACTCTACCGAGCCCTCCCTGACTCTCTGTCTTTACGTTCTGTTAAGCTAGAACTGATGAACTATCCAAGACAACCCGTGTTCTATGCCTTAACCGGGCATGATCTCTCGCGACTTCGTCGGGGTTCGCTCATCATTTCAACGCTCTGGGCATCTGTTCGCGCTTGGGTCTTCATCATCCCACTTTACACATGGCACTGCCGTCCTGCCGTCATCGACTGATGCGGGTTATTGTTCTAGTCACAACAACTTTGTTCTTCTGCTGAATACCGCAAGATCATGAGCTCGCTCAAGCAGTCTGAGAGGCATTTAGATTTGCCGCCCGAACCTTTCAATTGCTTAGGCACAAACTCTCGCCAAAATGTCAAGTCTCGCAGGAAACGGCGCTCTACCAGTATTGGGCATGTTGTCTCGCGTTGCCGAAATACGTTGCGCGCAAACCCAGAACAGTCTCTGGCCTCAACTTGGTTTACCCAAGGCAGGCGACTAGACAAGCTCTTCTCCCACGCTTCACCTGTTAGGTTTATTTCAGCTACTGCAACTGTCTGGGGACTCAGTTCAAGGTGATATCTTGAATTCAAAGCTACGACGAACACCGCAGACATCAAGCTCATATTTGGCTTCGCAGCTTAGCCTTCAGCCCCTTCACCATTCCTCCCTTCGGGAACCAGCGCGGCCGAGAAGTGTGCCGATCGAACCCACGCCGTTCCCCTTTGCCGAAAGTCACTATGCACTACCGGCAGCTGTCAACGGGCAAGCGAGATGTACCAGGGCGGTGGTGCCGCCGCCGAAGCGACCATCTCCAGGCACGGCCCTTGAGCGGGGAGCAAAAGGTTATTATAACGTTTGCCAACCAAGACTCCCAACGCTACGCACAGCCAATGACACCCGTTCACCAGATCATAGGCAATAGTTCTCAGGCTAAGACAGGGTCAGCCTACCCATCCATGCACAAATAACCTCTGTCTCATCGCAATATGGTAGTTCCCTATACTTTGCCTAGTCTTTGCTGCTTGAAACTAGCCGATGGCTAGGATCTGCGCTCTTGTCTTCTTATATCGTCAATCTTTCCTGCCCCAATTTCCTGCCTCCTACCTCTTAGGGACTGATGCTGGATGTCTTTCTGATTCTATAATCTTCCGTTTGCGGTGAATATTACTCAGCATCAGTCAGTATCCTCCTAGCTTAGTCGCCAGGCGTTATGACTTCCTGCAAGCGTTGGGCCTGGCTGTTTGGAGCAATCGTCGTGCTTCTCACACTCACTACGCCCGGTAACGCTCATCACAAGAAGAAACCGGACACGTTAGCCCCGCCGCCGGCCCCAATACCGAGACCATCCGTATCTCAAGGGCCAAGACCAAAGCCTCCCCCCGCGCCTGTTCCGATAGCACCGCCAGGTCCCAAGCCAAAGCCAACGGTAACTCCAACTTCAATACCAAAAGCACCTCCTGCGCCGGTGCCCATCGCACCGCCGGCGCCTAAGCCGAAGCCGAATCCACCAAAGGCGAAGCCCGAGTTCACAGAGGAGGAGATTAATAATGGAACGGCTCTGGCAAAACTCAACAAGAGGGCACTCGAGAATGTGCGGAGGATCAATGTGCCACAGAAACATCCAATATCCAACATTACGACCAATGGTACGAGGTTGTGCCAGGGAGAAGGCGTGTTGATGAGGAAAGAATGGTGAGTAGATGAACTCCGTCCTCTTGGGTTCCCAGGGGCGATTACTAATCTCTTGGTACCTAGGCGGAAGTTGACTGTCACGGAAAGAAAGTCCTTCATAACCGCCGTGCAATGCATTATGAACGAGCCGGTCATTTCGGATCCCAAGAGAGTGCCGATGGCAAAGTCTCTTTATGACGATTTTGTAGCTGTTCACTACACTAGCTTCCGCAACACACATCTTACAGTAAGTCTTTGCCATGATACGACATACATCATAATACCCACCTCGTGATTGGTATGCTGACGATCACCCTAGGCCTCATTCTTTGCATGGCATCGTTATTACTTGGCTAGCTTCGAGCAAAGACTGCGCACTCAATGTAAATACAAAGGTTCGCACTTCGGTGTATGGTTTCTGCCATGACAACGTTCGCGAGGCTGACTTCAATAGGTGCTCTTCCATACTGGGAATGGGGACTCGATGTAAACAACCCAGCCGCCTCACCCCTCTTTGACGGCACCGAGCTCTCACTAGGAAGTGATGGCGAGTTCATCCCCCACGATGGCCTGCAACTACGTCAGCCCTTCTCAAACAACACCATCAAACTCAAACCCGGGACCGGAGGAGGTTGCATCAAGTCAGGCCCCTTCCAGAACATGACCGTCCACATTGGTCCCGCTGCACTCGCGCAATACGGCACCACGAAGCCCTTCAACGTCACAGATCCCCTACAAGACCTGCCTAGATGCCTGAAGCGGGACCTGAACAAGGATGTGGCCCAGCGGTTCAACTCATTCAGGAACACGACGACACTCATTCTCGAGCAGACCAACATTAAGAACTTCTCTTCGCTATTACAAGGAGACGATCGCTTCTTCCCCAACACACTGGGAATCCACGGCGGTGGTCATTTCATTATTGGTGGCGACCCCGGGGCGGATGGTGTCATCGCACCCGGCGACCCGGCATTCTGGGTCCATCAAGCCCAGGTCGATCGTGTGTACTGGATCTGGCAGAACCTTGATTTGAAGAATCGCCAGGGAGTGTTTGGTACGATGACTCTTCAGGATAACCCAAAAAGCCCTGAGGGCAGTGTCGAGGATGATATTGACCTCACGCCTCTCAACTCGCCAGTAAAGATCAAGAACCTGATGAACACGGTTTCTGGGGCGCCGCTTTGCTACATGTACGAATAGTAGAATCCTGTTAGCGACTGTTTGACTCTCAATAGATTTGATACCCCTTGGCTTCTCTTCTCATATGGCTTAACACCGATGACACCGTCTCACCGTTGGACCTAAGTATTTGGATGTCTTGCCTCTCTATAAACACCCAACCTAAAGTTTCTTCTTTCAGTGACGTATAGGATCGTCTACATTTTCAGCCGTAACAGCAAGCCGCCTCAATCACCATCGGTGTATCCTACTCAAGTTGGAACTATGGCTTTAAGCGTTGAGGTGGGGTGGCGAGCGCCGCAGCGGCTGATCATTAAACGGGTCCACGGGAGTCTTGTAAAGAGCGACCAATATACTTTGTGACTGGGTTTGCATTTGCATTCCGTTGTTACTGGTCCACTGTATAGAGATACTCTGTCCCGAGTCAGGGTTCGCGATGATCTACATGGAGCTGATGCCTCAACTCATACAACTCTCAGTTAACTCTCCTCCGCCTTAAAATCGCCTCGTTCTCGTAAGTCAAGTGAGTGCGAAAGACCGGACGAGAAGCCTTCTCGAAAAGGAAGCTGCTCGTTACATTTTAGAACTCTAGAAAAAAGGGAAGGAAAAAAGGGTGCACAAGTTCACTCCAACCGACTGAGCTTCCCAGTCATCCAGCGAAACCTAGGACTACCGTTCGTGGCCCGACATTCACCCCGTCCGCTCCTCGCGACGAGGAACAACCTAGTGACGATCGAAAACAAGCTTTTCTAAGATTAGACGGTAGCGCCCACAAGAGCCGTACGTCCTCCCACTTCGGGTCCCCGCCGAGAGCCCCTTTCATCCTCGTAGCCTGTAGCTTGGGGGGGACGTGCCCCGTCGTCGGTCGATCGGGCCCGTCAAAGCGTCACCCGCCAAGGTCCAACCCCGGGGCTTTGGGGGGGAAGGGAAACGCGTGGCTCTGGTGTTTTGAAACATCTGATGTTAGCTCTTCGCTAGCCGTCTGGTTTTGGTGTTGGAGCTTAGCGTTGGCGTTGGAAGTGGTGAGTGTTGGTGTGGGTATGGATTATTTGTGTGGCGGTGACGTCTACAAACATTCTCCCAAACCCCGTTCAACACATGCTCTCCTTCACTTAAAAGTCTGTTTGCTTATCGCCCGGAGCGTTTCTTTTGCAATCTTTGCCGAAGGGGGTGATTATGTTGGTTTCCGTTTTCCGTCCGCTCATCAGACAAAGGAACTCTTTTTTCATTTTCTGTTGGATAATGTCAGGTGTTATTATCTAATTCGTTTCTGGTTTCCTTCGTCCCATACTTCTCAAAGACGCCGCCCTCAACCATACTGTCCCAACTCTGTGCATAACGGCATTCTACGTCAGGTTTATCACCATATGTATTCAACCCTCCGAATGTAGCGGATAGCAGCATTCAATTCGATTTCAACGCAAGCGAATTCCTTATCAACTTGTTCATGAGAGATCCGAATCAGCGTGTAACGCAAACAAGGCATTGTGGAACGGACGTGTAAGAAGCTGGGGAGGAAAACAGCATTGCTTCCTTACACAAGAGTATCACGACGTCAAACAGACCGGCTCTCAGACCGACGTCACCAACCACAAACGGGACCGTCTCTGCTTCTTGTTTTCAACCAGCGAATGAGGCGCAACGCCTTTGTTGCCGTATATCCGTCCATTTCGTATCACTTATCTTGGACAACGCGAACACGTCACCCTTCGTGTCTTACAAGACACTAGAGCAACTAGCTGCAAGTTCGACCCGTCGCGCCCGCTTCCCACCAAACGCCCAACGGTCGTTAGATTTCGCCACGGCGATTCGAATTTCACCCTTTCTTCACATCGAATTCATCAACCATAGACTCACGATGTTGTCGATGCCAGCACCTCGGATGCTCTCAATGACGGGTTCAAGATCCAGTCGGAACGTTCCCATCATCTACGTCTTATTGGCAATCTGCCTCTTACTCTTCTTCGTCCAAACCGAGTTCGGATACACAGTCATCGAGAAGGTGGCCGACGCGAAACCACCAAAGATCAACAGCCTCACATCGACACCGACACCGAAACCCAAATACAAGCCGCAACCGACATGGACACCACCACCCGTCAAAGATCCTTTCCCGCTCCTCTCTTCGGGCATGCCGCCGCCGGTTCCATCGTGGAATAGACCCGAAAAGCCCAACGTCTACCACAAATACTCCTTGACGACCGCGCCGCCCCTGATGATCGGCTTCACGCGGAGTTGGCCGATGCTGCTGCAGACAGTTGTCGGATACATCACCGCTGGATGGCCAGCGGAGCAGATCTATGTCGTGGAGAATACCGGCGTTCACGATTCGAATGCTCGGGGCCGGTTATCGCTGCAAAACCCGTTCTATCTCAATTACACGCAGCTCCACATGCTCGGCGTTCACGTCATGCGCACGCCGGTCCTGCTCAACTTTGCGCAGCTCCAAAATTTCTTCATCACAGTGGCAAAGGAGAAGCCGTGGTCGTACTACTTCTGGAGCCACATGGACGCTTTCGTCCTCTCCAGCGAGGAAGGAATCCCAGGAGTCTCTGGTGCGGTCGGCACGCCCGAGTACCAGACCATCTACGAGCTGGCCGTCAAGGAGCTGAATGAGACGATGCGATCAGATCACAAGTGGGGCGCACGCTTCTTCGCATACGACCATCTCGCCCTGGTGAACCCGCGCGCTTACGAGGACGTCGGTGGCTTCGACACGTTCATCCCGTACTACATGACTGACTGCGACATGCATTGGCGGCTCGAGGAGGCGGGATGGAGCATCAAAGAGGCGCAGGCGGGTATCGTCCAGGATGTTGCGTCAGTGCTGGATGACTTACGCGTCCTGTACCGCGAGGGGGAGGTTCCCGAGGGGTTTGGCTTCACGGATCCGAACCCACCACAGAGCAAGGTTTTAGGCGAGGTCCCCCTGGAAGACGACAAGCGGAGCCTGCCGGTACCTGACGCTGTTCCGGAATTGGATGAGACGGGAGCGCCGGTGGACGATGCGGCTGATGGCGTGGAGGAGGATTCAACGACGGCTGTCGATCCTTTGACATCTTTCAGAAGGCTGCACAGAATCAGCCAGGATATGTTCAACCATAAGCATGCGGATCGCGAGAGGAATACTTGGCAGTTGGGTCAGAGGGGAGGAGATCCACGGGAGCCTTATTCATATAATGCCCTTGGATTCCAAATTGGGATAGACGTCATGACGGAGGCCGGACGGGAAACCTTCCGTCGGAAATGGGGCCATAGAGGTTGCGATTTCGGTGCTGCTGGATTGAGGCCCAGCGATGCGTGGAAAGTAGAAAAGGATTGGGAATAATGGAGTTTGGAGGCAGGGAAGAGGAGTACGGACATACACGGAATCGGCGTCAGGGAACAGTTTCCTAATGAGTTCATATTTGTTTCACTTTACGAAATGGTAGTCGAATCTTCAAATAAATACCACTTTCTTTCTTGTTTCGTTTCATTCAATCAGCTGTTGACTCCGTCCGAACTTAGGGAATCCATCCGTCGTGGAGAGGTCAAGACTCAGAGACCTTTGAAGCTAGCACAGGTTCCAATCAAGGATGTCAATTCCAATATCTTGACGCAAAGGCCTCCAGTGTAATAGCCAGTCGGAGAGGGCTAGGTACCTTACCTACTCAGAAGACGACAGGGGATCAGCGTTGCATCACATCTTCGAGTTGCACAGGGGAGCTAAATGTGTCCAGGCACGGCTAGCTGCTTACTGAAGTGGGGTAGACAGGCAGCAATCTTCAGCAGGCTGGAAGCTCATTCCTCATTCTCATGTACTTCTAGCTGACAACAACCGTTCTCATTCAACGGTCTTGAGCCATTTAATTTCTGCTACATACATTTGCCTGAATAGATACACTGTGCTTACGCAGTATGCTAGCTACCAAGCTCGAAAATCTTCCTCCAGAGGTGTTGACTGCGATCTGTACATCACTCGGAGACGACCAAGCGGGACTCCTGTCGATCTCTCGGGCTTCAAAATATTTGAGGGCTATTTCAGCCCCCATCATATTCAAGCATATCACCGTCACGACAAGTACGGGGAGACGTCGACCTCGAAGATCTAGCCCAACTCGCGATACCCGAGCGAACTTACTGCGAACCATAGTCACCAAACCCACAATCGCCGCGCATGTCTCTAGTGTCCATTGTCCATCATCACGGGGCGCCGTGCCTGCCATCAACGAGGAAGACATGGATTTAATCCTTCAGACAGCCTCCAAATTTGGCGTCCCGGTTCCGGAACTACTCCGCCTCGGCGGTGCTCACCCTTCTCTCGAGGGTAGGCGGGGCTGGGCCCTTAGTGACGACGATATGCAGCGGCTCGTCACTGTGCGTGCGTTCTTCGCAGAACTCATCATCGCACATACGCCCAACATCCTCACACTCGACTATAGTATAGGCCGCTATCGGAATGCCTTCCAAGTGTTAACGACGATTCAAGACTCATCCTCGTTCCACCGCCAGCCCATGTTCCCTTTGTTGAAAAACGTCCACCTGCGGCTATTCGGGCCCGGCACCTTTCTACGGCCACTGAGTGAGATGGCTCCCAATCTTCAAACCCTCCGTATACAGGGCGTAACGGCACCGATGGAAGGCTGGCACTTTGAAAAGGTCAAGGATCTCCGACTTAGCTCATCAAACTTCACGGGCTCAGAGCTCAGGGGCATCTTGACAGGGTGTCCCGCTTTAACTAACTTTGAGTACGATTACTATTCTCTCAGAGACGAGAGATGTGCTCCGCAAGATGTGGTTGACGCTTTGGAGAGCTTTGAACCACAATTGGAAGGACTTTCTTTAAAGTTCCATTCCAACACGTGGGCAGGCCGGAGAAGAGAGCCATCGACTACGGATCAGAATCAGCCCAATTCGGCGCTCATCACCTCTCTAAAGCATTTCACAGCCTTGATGAACTTACAGCTTGACAGTGTGTGCTTGTGGGAAGACGCAGTTGAGGGATCGGCCGGCGAGGATCAAGGAAATGGGACGGAACAAATATTCGTCAATCTTCTACCAAGAGCCGTAAGGAGTTTGCGCGTCACATACAAGAGCCCTAGACCGTTCCATGACGCCCTGCCCGTTTTTGCGCGCAATCTTGAGGATTGCTGCCCTGAGTTACAACTATTTCACAACAAACTGCTTTTTGATGGTCCGTTGTCTCAAGGTCTCTTGGACCAACTGCGGCAGGTTAGGGAAGAGTTTGTTTTACTTGGTCTCACTTTTGAATTCGATGTTTCGAGGCTAAACGGATGTGTGTATGTCAACTTGGATGATGGAGGTCTGCCGGTTTCCATTGAGACGATGACTGAAGAAGAATGGATTCTTTCTGAATTAGGCTGATATGGAAAACATTGAATCATTTGATAATTGAAGACTAAAAGATAAATTTGTCTCCAGTATCAGTACTTCTCTAAGAAACATCGAAGAAACCGATTCTTGTCATCGAAACAGGGTCAATGATGAAAGAAGCTTACTGGTGACCAAGTCGCACCCAAGAGTCATCCGCACCAGCTTTTACTCGGGCAAGACCCTTGAAATTTTCAATCACCTATTAAGAACAGAGACCAGTATCTGTTCGGATGACTCACCAAAAGACCATGTGATATGAAAGCTTGTTATTGGCTGAGTGGCTCTTAGTAAGTAGGCGTCACACGGTCACAGCGGGGTCGAATAGGCAGCCGCAGGCTCACTAGAACTCCTGGAAAGTTACTGAGTTTTCTGGAGGACATGATGAAATCTGGCACCTAAGGCTCAAAATCACTTGAATTTCAGGAAAGACGTTGAAACACTTTCGTGACTCTGCAGCTTTGCTCAATAGTGTCAAACTTCTCAGCTCAAGATCCCAGCCGCAAGGAGCCGTTAATCGCACACCAAGCCCCCAATGACTACATCGACAAGCTTAGAGCACCTTCCGACAGAGATTCTTTCCCAAATCTGCATTCAATTGAATGAAGATGGAGGTTCGCACATATTGAGACTATCATTGACCTCGAGAAGATTTCGGGTTATCACGGTCCCACACATATTCGAGCGACTGTCCTTTATGACGCCTCCTTACTCAAATATCTTCGACGAGAACACTACAGATAGCCGGATAGGCCTTCTTAGAACGGTTGTCACGAATCCTAAGATTGCCTTTGAGGTCAAAGATATTGAGGGCTTATTTGGTGGAAAAGGGCAAATGGCCAAAGAAGACCTCGATATTATCATTCGGGCAACCAACGACTTCGGAATCACACCACCAAAAGCTCTTACTCGGCTTTACGAACAGTTGAGGCCTTTAGAAACGGTGCCAGATATCCAGTTTGGTCTCAATCATGGAGTTTGCAAGCACTTGAGCTGTTTCATGACAGAAATGCTTGTTGCTCATACACCCAACCTCCGAAGTTTAGAGTACAATGTCCACGGCTGCTCGAACGCATTTAAAACACTTGAAGAGGCGGTCAGAACTCACTTCAGAGTTCCGCTGCTGCCTAATCTGATAGATGCTTACATCGAGTTGAACGGTCCAGCGGATCAGGTCAACTCTTTGGCAGAGGCTGCTCCGGCTCTAGACAGCCTATGGCTGAGATCCGTTTGCGGACTTCAATCCGGCATGCAACTCAACAGCGTCAGAGTCTTAATCTTAACCCAAGTAGATTTGAGTCCTGCCGAGCTCAAGAAACTCCTGAGCGGTTTTCCTGGCCTCAAGAAGTTTTGGTTCACATCAAGCTACCGCCTGATGCGAATGGGGGGCACGTCCCAGCTGTGCCGACCCCAAGAGGTGGTAGATGCCCTCTGCGGTCTTAACCTGGGGATCACAGAGCTGACGCTGCACTTCAATTCTTGGGACTGCCATGAGCCGAGCCAGGATTCTCATATCCCTCTGCCTGGTCTTCTTACCTCGATTCAGGGGCTCGACAAACTGGAGGATCTGGATTTTGACGGGATGTGCTTCTGGGGTAGGGGCTATTTCTTACATGGATCACCGACTTATGATCCTGTGAAAGTTCAGGCCCTCGCACGGCTTCTTCCTTGTAGCCTCAAAAAGCTAACACTGACGAATTTGAAGAATGGCCCATTTTATGAAGATTTGGAAGCATTGCCGGAGAGGGTATCGGAAATCCTGCCGGAGCTGAGAGTGCTGGAGTGTGGACTGCGACATGGAAAGAAGATGCCACAGGATAAGTTGCGGTACCTGACGGAACGCTTCACGGCCCAGGGAGTCAAGTTTCAAGACTCGGCAAATATTCATTCGAGCGACGATGAGGACAGTTAGATAACATGGGCTTGACGTACTTACAAACTTGCCAATCTGGACTGAAATTACTCTCAATTAACCCAAAGGCTCACAAAACCACTTCCCGTCTGTCTAAATTTAGACCGGCAATGGAACTAGGAAGCTTTTGATGTACCGTGAAGGGAGCGAGGTGGAATCACTAGGTGTCTATTGTGCTGCTGCGATGATTGCGCTCGATATGTACCAAAGTAAACACCGCGATGAAGGAATATCCGCATCGACTTTGACTCTTTTGACACTGAGACTGGATAATCATGACCACAAGTCAGCGATTCTTGGCAGCTGGGATAATTGGACTGAAAACTCGCTTTTGTCCTTGGCCTGCATTTTAGAGCCTTGGCAATTAATCACCATCTTATCGAGCTGCCTTTTGTGAAATCCCCCCTCTCTGCGGAGTTGCTTCCGCCCCAACCTTTACTTGCCTCTTGATAGAGTGGTCGACCAAAGCCATATACATCAACCCGAACGTTGACGCCCAAGAAACCAGGCGACTTCTTTGGACTCAGGAATAGCTTCAAAAGTCCCTGCGGCCTCCCAAATACATACGTTTGTTCTAGAACCCGATGGCCCTGGGTAAATCAGAACCATCGCCAGTAAGCTGCAGGGCACTATTCGGACTGAATTGGGTCCTAACCGCCGCGCGGGGTGACATTCGGGGGTCTAGCATGGCCTACCCCGGGCCATGCAGATCGGCTCGTTCCACTAGCACGCTGGCCACCAATCGTTGCCGTTGAGGGAGCTTTAAGCTTAAACCTTAAGGGCAGGTGAGAAGGATTTCGAAGGGTTGCGTGCGAGTTGCGTGCCCAAGTCGCTTGGCAAAGGCGAGCATGTCAACTACCCGCCTTCCTCATTCTATTCTGACTTGTCTGCAAATCATCAGCCGGATGTCTTGGGAAAAAGACTTATGTAGGCTTTGCCCTTGAGTGAGGCTCGCTAATCTCTCTCCATATCCAGGTAAGGAAGGTGATCAGATAACATTTACAGTCAAACTCAGATGTTATTCAAGGTTTGCACTAAGCTAGCAAAGGTCCTCGACTGACAGCCCGACGCCTGACCAACTCATAGCTCCTCACTGGAATAGCAGCTGCCCGAGCTAGGTATGTAAGCCCCAGAGTGTTCATCCCTACTCCGAGGTGGAGTTATTGTCACGGCAGTGGCTGGCCGGACCCTTGACGACTGGTTTGTTGCACCCGAACTGGTCAGGCCATGTCTTCGGGAAGGCTAGCGATGTATGGCAAAGCCCTGATTTTTCGAACCTTTATGGCTACAACCGAATCTGGTAAAATTGACCATGGAATTGTAAGCCGAGTGACCGGGGCCATAGTCTCGCGGGGATGCTGGGATTAGACCGCAAACCCAGAGCTTATCAGGGTACTACCAAGACAGGAGCAATCACACCTACCACTTTCTGCAAAAGGCCGTTGGTGACACTGCGTCGAAATAGCTCACCGAAAGACTTCAACTGGTGACATCAGCAATTTGCTTTACCATCTGATCTCCATAAATAGAGACGGGTGATCGCTCCCGCTATCCCAGCTTTTCTCTAGCACTCCAGTCTTCAGCTCACTGCACCGCCAAACCGTTTTTGGAGTCTGCCGTTGACAATGAAGTTCCTCGCTGGTCTGTCCCTCGTCCTGCCGCTGGCATCCGCCGCGGCTGTGGTCCCTCTCGAGAAGAAGATCACCTACGATGGCTTCAAGGCCTTCCGTATTTCCACGCATAACGACCCCGCGTCGATCAAGAAGAAGATTGCCAACATTGCGGCGATCCCATTCAATCTCGACAACAGCGAGCACCTTGACGTTGCAATCCCCGCTGGCGATGTCTCCAAGTTTGAGGAGCTTGGTCTCGAGACATCCATCCTTCACGAGGACCTTGGTGCTGACATCGCCGAAGAGGGCACTTTTGCTCCCTACAAGAGTACGTCTCTCCATGCCGAACTTCAAAGAAGATTTAGTGAAGAAGACTTGGTCTGACATTGAACAGGCAACGACGATATCTCTCTTCAGGCTCTCCCCAGCCTGACGTGGTTTGACTCGTACCACACTTTTGCCGACCACCAGCAGTTCATCCGCGATCTGCAATCCAACTTCCCATCCAACTCCGAGTTGATCAACGCTGGTAACTCTTACGGCGGACGCTCCCTCCTCGGTATCCACCTGTGGGGTAGCGGTGGTAAGGGCTCCAAGCCGGCCATCTACTGGCACGGCACCGTCCACGCTCGCGAGTGGATCACCACCATGGTAAGTTGTCGAAATTGGATGTCGATATGATTTGTGTTGCTAATATGCGACAGGTTGTCGAATACCTCACCTACCAGCTCATCGACGGCTACCAGAAGAATGATGCCGCTGTCAAGGCTCTCCTTGACAAGTACGACTTTTACATTCTGCCCATTGTCAACCCTGACGGTAAGACGCATCGATCAATGAACCGTCGCCCTTTGACCAAATAGCTGATTTCACCAAGGCTTTGCTTACACTCAGACAAACGACCGCCTTTGGCGCAAGAACCGTCAAGTCAGATCCGGCAGCACTTGCGTCGGTACTGACATCAACCGGTGCGTCCATCACTTCTTTGATTACAAGAATCAGAACTGACGCCCAATAGCAACTGGCCTTTCAACTGGCAACTCCCCGGCGGAGCCTCGACTAACTACTGCTCCGAGACATACAAGGGCCAGGCCGCCGGCGACACCCCTGAGATGGTCGCCCTGAAGGCTTACACCGACCGCCTCGCCGCCGGCAACGGAATCAAGCTCTTCATCGACTGGCACAGCTACGGCCAGTACATCCTCCTGCCCTACGGCTACGACTGCTCTGCCCGAGCCTCCAACCACGCCCGCCAGATGACTCTCGCAACAAACACTGCCAACACCATTGCCCAGGCCTACGGCACTCGCTTCACCTACGGACCTAGCTGCTCGACTCTATATGCCACCACTGGTAGCGCTCCGGACTACCTCACTGGCGCTGCTGGCGCTGAAGTCGCTTGGACTATTGAGCTGAGACCCTCTGGATCTGCTGGTGGTGGGTTTGTTCTTCCTGCTGCTCAAATCCTTCCCAGTGCGATTGAGCAGTGGAACGGCATAAAGTACCTACTAGCAAATGTATAATTGATGACATCAAGACGTTGAGTCAGGCTCTTGATTCAAGATTAGTGATGGCTAGAATCTCTTTTGGAGCTGAATGAGAAATCACAATGGCACTCACCCATTTTTGACACCTAACAAAGCTTCGGGAAGAGAAGAATGACAAAGATTTGATTCCAGTCCATATGAACAGCAACTACGGGTGGAAGTAAGGAGGCGCTACATTGTTTTTATTTTCGCCATGGTTCTATCCCATCTTCTGCCATCTGGCGCTAGTACGTCCGTCTCTAGTCTCTCTCCAACTTCAACTTGCTCCTCAAATTAATTCGTAAGCGGATATAAAGGGAAAAAAAGGCATGACAGATACAGAATCCTGCATCACTCGTTAGGAAAGTACGTTCATATAGAACCGCGCCATCTAGCAGTTGACAAGATACACTACCAGAGAAAATTGTTTGCAGAATCGCTGCGTTAAGGTCAAGCGGAAGCTGGATCACATCACTAACCCACAACTAGGAAATGCCTGCCTCTCGACTCAAGTAATTCGTCCAGCCAGAGTCCTTAGCCCCTCATGCCGTCTCGCCATCTGTCTTCCTGTATTCACTGGCTTTTACCATCCTGCCATTGATATTGAGCTGAGAATAGAGCTTTTCCAGCTACGTGTTGGCAACAACATAAGACAACTGTTCCGAACTCATTCCCTACTAAGATTCTGTCCTTCTTGGTTTTATCAGCAGTCTTGCCTATCTGTGACGTCTGGCTCGGTATTCAATTCTTTGGCCCCAGTTTCGCTACCTTATGTTTAAGACTCTTGATGGTGATGTCGCCTACATTACTCAGTCCACACCTCTGACGAGTCATCAGGACGTTCAGACGTTGAGGGTCTGCTGTAAAGCCAGCACCTGGAGGGAACGTAGTGCCCAGGATCACGATGACATTGTCATAATCTTGGCGTAGTACCCATCGTCATTTCATGCCTTTTTTATCTGTTGCCGAACGTCTGGATGAGACCTTTCCAGACCTGTTAAGGGGTAGCTCAGAGTCCAGCGGGCTTCGGGACTGTATCGCATGCCTCTTATCTACAGAGCGAAGGGTTTCGACGCGTCTAATTCTAATGTCAAGCCATGTTGGTGATGTCTCGCTGACGTTGACACATCCTGTTTATAGAACCAAATTACATTCATTCCTCCTCGTCGGAGTATTCCGAGTGGTCATCATCGTATATCCCTCCCTGATTCAACATCTTCATCATCTCGTTAGAGTCACAAGGGTAGATGCAGGGGTTCGGGGCACCGGATAATGCGTGAAGTCTCATAAGCAGCCATCTGAGTCGGAGCAGGTCCCTATCTGGAAGCTGCTCCTGACTTTTGTCAGAGATCTCGGTAATGGACCCATGTTTGATCATGCGAGAGCTGATAGTCTGCCCATTCTCCTCAACGAGCACCTCGCGGGGGTCAGTAGAGAAGGACTTACCCATCCTGCTTGCCATAGACGTGAATCGAGTTCGACTTAGCCAGTGAACCCTTAGTCGCAGTGTCGCCATGGCCGATGAGTCGTGATCAAGTGGCTCAAGGGGTTCTAAGGCAAAGAGTCCTTCGGACCAGCCTGGTTCCAACTCGCGACCGAGACAGATCATGTTCGTCATTAGTGTGGTGATACCCCCATAGCCCTCCTCCTCGTGCAAGAACTTTGATCTGAGCCTGGTGTAAAAGTCTTCATCCCATCCAAAGAGTCCTGAAACTTGGGTAGCCACGATAAGGCTGCTCGGAATATGGCGCCAGATGATTGGGGCGACAATGTGACAAACGTTTGGGTCAGAAGTTCCGGTAGCAACGCATAAATGTCTATCGCGATTGCGTGCCTGTGACGGAGCTATCAGTACATGTAGGCTTAAAGAAGTAGCATGGTGCTATACTCGCCTTGGTTTCTTCAATCGCAAGTTGAGACTGTTCCGAAGGCGCCAAGCTTCCTGACTGTTCAGCCGCAACCCATTGACTAAGACCTGTTGTAAGATTAGCATGCTGAAAGTACCGTTCAAACGCCTGGGGCGAGATTTCTTACAGAGTCTGATGAGCTGCGGGAACACTTTCGTCGTACGGTCGAGTTGTCTCAGGAACGTCCTTCTCTCGGCCTTTGGAAAAGTCTGCAATTTGTGCAAGAGGTCCAAAAGGTGGGCAATATCGACCATCATGAGAATGCTCCAGAAACCTACTCTGTAGATGCCAAAATGAGATGGCAACTTCGTTGGTTCGATTTCCTTCCGAATTTTCTGTACTAGGCAAATCTTGGTCTGCATCTCGTCGTTCTTGTTATTATCCATGTTTTCGTGTTAGGCCGCAGTGTATCGGCGACGGCCCGACGTAGGTTAGAAAACTGCATGAATGAGAGCAAATGAGGGTAACTTGAAGAAGGCTGGATGAAGTCACCTAAAGCAGACGATGATAAAAATGGTTCGCTTGTCGTGTGAGACCGTCGAGAAATGTAAGGGAGTTGCGCTCGCGGTCGGAGGTAGGAAAACGAGGATAAAGTTCACCTGGAGAAGGATAGAGCAGCCGAACGCCCTCTCGAAAGATTGGGGTCAGTAAACAATCATCTGGTCAGAGTGTCATGTGACACAAACTCAAGACGAGAGTATTCAATGAGACAACCGGAGATGGCGGGTGGCGTAAGTACACGTAGTAACGCTGGTGCCTTGTGTTTATTTGTCAAATTCAAGGCACAGGTGGTTTGGGAAACCCGTTAAGGCACCCAAAATTTTGAAGCCATCAACATGCTCTACCCTTCCGCTCGTCTAAACTCCTACTCATCGCCGCTTCCGGGCTTTGACAACCTTGCGACGCTCAGGGCCCTACACCGCCTTGGGTAATCTGAATAACACGGCTGAGTAATATTATGATGGAAAAAGTGTTGTTTCTGCGTTGTCTCTCTGCATTCAAAGAGTATTCGTGCTTTCCCCATTTCAGGCCTTGTATCGTCGTGACCGCAAAGGTTTCCGGGTTCTTTCCCATCATCCCTTTGTTCCTTGCCTTTATATGTAGCCATTTTATTCTATTAGCGATCCCAACGTCTTCGCCCTTGGAAAATATGTTTAGTAGAAGGTTCTGGCGGTCGATCCAACAATCACTTTTCATGGTCATCGGCCTCTGAATCGAAGTGAATGAAGCGATCTGAAATAAATATGAAGCCTAATTCTAATGTATCAATGAAGTTCCCCGCTGACGTCTCCCGATCCCAACATCTCCCCAGCTCCGGGAATGCCGTTTGCCAATCTATCTGAATTGCTCCGCGGCATGCTCCAAGAACTTGAGCATTTCCCGCTTAGACGCCTGCTCTCTAAGGCGTGCCGACTCTTGCTTCTCTGCCAGCGCAAGCATATAGTCACCTTCCATAGTAACTCCAATATTTCTGATATCGGCCGCCATGTCTTCACCAACCATCTTCAAGCCGTCACCAAGAACGTCTTTGACGTTTCCGATTGCGTCGCGGAACATCTTGACCTTCCGGTTGAGGACATATTCCTCAATTTTGGCTTTGGCCTTCTTCACTGATCCTTTTCCTATATTGGTTTGCAACGTGATTAGTATGGGTACCCAAAGGGTTCTCCCAGAGACCTCCGGAAGACATCCAGATCAACGGAATCATACTTACCACGCATCTGAGAACACTCCTCATAGCCAAGAGCCATCGCTTCGGCAACTGGCGTGGTCAACGCTCTGTTGGCGTCCTTCTGAGCCTCATCGACTCCCATTCGACTTTGAGCGGCAAGTCTAACAACTTTTGACTTGTGAAGGTCGAGTTGCCTACTAAGCTGCACGATTGCGGGTGATTCATCGTGATCGTAGTCTTGGATCCCAAGTTGCTTCATGACATCCTCGTGAAACACGCCTAGTCGGTGAGTCGCGGAGACAGAGAAGTTGTCGAGCACGCCTGGGATACTGAACCGAAAGAAGTTTGCCCAGGTCTCTGTCAGGTTATCAGTGATAGGTCGCAACAAGTCTTCGTTGAAATTGTTCATCTTCCATATGCCGCCGCGGCGAAAAGTTGCCTTTAGCGTAGAGAAGTTCATGTTGCCCCAGCCAATTGCCGTAGGAACTGCCGCGCGACTGGCAGCAGAGCTCAAGCGCTTCATCTCCTCATACAGACCAGTCTCTACTACCACGTGCAACTTGTCTCGGCAATCCTCGACCTCACCATTCGAATCCTGCCGAGTGTCAATTCCTTGTTTCATTAAACCAAGATGGAAGCAGTACTCACGGCATTGAAGCGTGCCAACATCCACTTTAGACGCTCCCCGTCAATCGTGGCTGTAGTCTCTGCCGTGTCCTGCGCCCATATTGCGATGGAGTTGAGGATTTGACAGATACTGTTAAGTATTTCTTGGTACTTCGCGATTCGAAGCTCTTCGGTCAACTTCTGAGCATGAGCTTGAAGCTGAGGAATTTCTGTGTCCTGCTCGGTGTCAAAGCCAGGAGTCTCATCATCGTTATCGGCCACAAGACCTTGCATCTTTTGGTAAACGAGGCTGCTGGTGCAAAAGATAGGAGTCAAAGCGGACATTTCGTCGTAGTCTCGGAACTCCTCATCAGCTTGCCCATGTCCGTTGGCGTTGGCTGAATCTTGCCGATCAAGACTAAATTGGTTACCGGTTAGTCCCAATGACTTTCTGGCATGGTTTCTCACTTACTCTTTGAAACCCTTAGTGAGGTGCTTCCTGACAGCATCTCGGCAAAGCTGGTTGCGTCTCCGAATCAGACGTGCATGGACCTCGTCCATCAGCTCTCGCTTTTCTTCTTTCAACTTTGCAAGCTCTTCGTGCTTCTCACCATTCGGATCGCAGTCAACGACACCATCATTGGCTAGTTCAGAGGAACTATCAAAAATGGCTCTCTCCACCTGCTTACCGGGCGGCTCGGTTCGCGCTCTCTTCGCTGTGCGGCCCGTGTCGAGGCTACTGGTTGAGGCCCGGGATGTCTTGCGTCGACCTCGGACAACCATGAGCTCCTTTTCCAGAGCCGCGGTGCGGCGACCTAGGGCTTGGACCCGGCCCCATGCTGCCTTAGTATCCTTGTCCAACTTCGACTTCATGCTTTCTATTCCGGAGCTGAGCGTCATGTCGTCAGTCTTTGAGCAAATGATGGTCAAAGCCGAGAATGCTCCATCAAGCTTGAGCTGACGCTTGATAGAGTTGCTCATGATGTCCTTGGCTGTTTTGTTATCAACAGCTCTGTTGATTGGAGCCACTACCCAGACTCCCGAACAGCACTTGATGTACTCGCTTGCTACTGCAGCTCTGGCTGCATCCCAATCCTGGTGGCCGGGCTACCAGACCTGATGTCAGCTACCTTCCATAAAATCGAGTTCCACCAAAAGAATAACATACCAAGTCTACGATTGTGACACCGTTAGCGAGCACTCTGGCTTTGGTAAAGATTCTGACAACCTTCACCAAAGGCCAGTATGCCGCCGTCTCATCATCCTTGTCGTTCGAGTCGACGTAGGGCTCGAGTTGCTCGCGGATATCCTGCGCATTGCCGCTTTTCACCGTCATGGTGGTACCTAGAAGGTGGTTCACGCTTGGATGGGTAGCCAGCTGAGCCGAAGTGCTGCTAGTCAAGTCTTCCAGGCTCAATGAAGGATAGACCGCTTGAACTTTCGCTAAAGCTTTCGCTGCATCGCTTTCCGGGTCCAAATCATTCCTCTCATCAGTCTCTTCAGCGAAGAATTCCATGAGCAGTATGTTGACTTCCTTGGACCATTCCTCTCGAGAGATGAACTCGACTTCCGCGCGGTATGGGTTCTCTTCGTCTTCATCATTGTTGTAAGAAACCTCGGTAGCGACAGCGGTGCACGCGCGCATACAGTTCGTGGGAAGTAAGCTAAGAATAATCAGCTGGGTTCCATCCTGCGAGATGAGTGTTCGATCATACCTCTCTTCATCTAGTAGGGCATTGATGGTTGAGCTTTTGCCATCTCCCGTGTTGCCCAGGACACCAATGACAGTTCGATGGGACCGCTTCGCCTGATCACGAAGATCAGAAATTTGGTCAAGCCAGTGAGCCGCTGCCTTCTTCAGAGCAGGTTGAAGCTTGCGAGAGGAAGAAATGGTCTCGCAAGCTGGCTGGAGTCCGTCCAAAAGCGGAAGAACCTTTTCGTAAAACAGCTACCAAAGATCTAGGTCTTTAACTCTTCTCATCTTTTCCATGTATGAGAATGTCAGTAGAGCACACTGCTCAGTAGATCTTGATCTTGCGTTGAGAGGGGCATCTGTCGTAAACTCCTCATGCTGCTCGCCCTTCACTTTGATTTCTTCTTTGAAGGGAGCATCTGGTTTGATGTCATCATGCTGCTCTTTCTTCACTCCAACAACTGCCTGACTGGGGTCCATTGCGCAACTGGGAAGGAAGGTATCTCAGCTAGATTGAGCCTGAAGTAACGCCTCGTAATTCTGAAGACTCGCAAAGAAGAAATAGAAAGTTGCTTATCCAAATGAAGATAGGCGCCAAATCAGAAAGATGATGTAGAATTGGCTCGCCTAAGACCCCAAGGTGCGATGCCAGATGTTGACAATGATGAAGAAATTGGAAGGTAGTATGGTTGAATGAAGAGTAAGAAGAAGAAGAGAATGTTGAAATTGGAGGAATTTGGGGAAAGGTACTTAAGTTGACGAAGTGGTTGGGTTGAAGTTGTCTGGTGGAAGTGAGGCTGAGAATATCGGTGTGGTTAAATACCTGTTAGAACTGGTGCCTTCGAAGTCTGGCAGGATGTGAACGAAGGAGCAATGGAACCTAATCAAGTGTGGGCAGCAAGTACCTTACCCCGAAGAGACAAGGAATCACAAAGGTTTCGAGAGAGACATGGAAGGTTCGACCGACGTTCGAAGAAATACCAAGAGGTGTCTGGAAGATAATGTTAAAAGTTTCAAGACCGTCTTTCGGTAAGATGAAAGTTGGAGCTCAAGTGTCAGGTCGATTTTCCAAGATATCCAGGGCTCAAGTGGGAACATCCTCAATTCTTATATGGACCACGAGGAAGGTTGCCGCGACTGGCTCTGAATCGGCTCACTGTACAGTCTAATTTTGCTCCAGGTGGTTCTTTCCCTTCTCAGGTCCTTCCTATTTCGCAGTGCTGGATGAAGAAGGTATCGACACATTCACCTCGGTGAAGCAAATCCTTTACCCCGCCTGACCGAATTCACCGAGATAAGGCAGTAGAGATAAGCGACGAGAGGCGTGCCCTGGTGTGGAAAAGAACTCATATCAGATCTTATCAGATCCTTCCCAGCGCAACCCCACCATGCGAACCCCGCGGTCCGCGATCCGC